TGGCCCACGAGCCGGATGCATCATAGTGAAACCGCACCCATCCCACTGCCGGCAATGGTAAAAAAGTCACAATACCTTGCGAAACATCACGTGATGTGAGTTTGACACCCTTGCCTTAGTTGGATTATATTCTATTGCTTGTGTTTGCATTATATTGAATTTAAATATGACATGGTCACTCTCGCCCAAGGTTCTGGCAATTTCAACTCCCTCTACCACTTCTTCTCTATTTGTAAGAATTAGGCCCAGTATAGCTTTTCCTCTAGTTCTCTCCTTTTGAATGACAAAGTTGTCAGCTGAGATCTTTTCGATCTCCCACTTGCTGCAGATTTTGTCTCCCGGTTCATATCAGGGAAGTTAAAGTTTCCCATTACTACTGTGGTATGTTTCCTACATACATTTGTTAACTGATTAGTAAAGAGTTCATCTATTTCTTCTGTTTGGTTGGGTGGCCTATAGCAATGTAATTTTTTCTCCAGCAGGATGGCAATGGATGGGTTCTATGACAGCCTTCCTGCCCGGCAGACTGGGTAAAAACTTTGGCCACACCCTTCCTGTGGGCGTGACCCCAGTTTTGACTCAGTCTCGAAGCCTGGTAAAAGTGCGAGAATCAGCTCTTAGAAAAAGAAAGAATTTCACCCCAAAAAGACAAAATCTCCTCTTCCACATTCTAATTTGGCAAGCAAGGATCACTGGCAGCTGACTTGGAGCCATTACTGGACACCCATTCAGGATCGTCGGAGTGGTGAGAGTATCCTCAGCGCGGCTAGCCAGGGGGGCTCGGGGCGACCACCGGATCGCTCGCCATTTCTCCGGCTCACCAAACAGCTGATTGCTGCTTGATTGATTTAATTCCGTTCGGCCGACAGAGCCGAGGCGCCGCTCGGCGCTAAACAGCTGAGCGGCGCGGGAAGTAACAACCCCATCGGCCAGCAGAGCCGCGGTGCCGCTCGGCATTAAACAGCTGAGCGGCGCGAGGAATCACGTTCTGACCGGCGGGCAGAGCCGCGGCGCCGTTCTTCTCAGCGGAGAGGCGCAGCCCCTTTAAGGCCGAAAGAGCAATTTAACTGGCGATTCCTTCCTGGCTGGAAGGATAGTAAGGAATTCAGAGCGGCAGTTAGGATCCGCCATTTTTTCCCTTTGAGCCTCGTGGCTTTCACCGGCTACTATTGGGAGGCGTGGCTTCCTCCCATTCGCCATTTTAAACGAGCGGATTAACCCGCTGTTTTCCTTTGTGGGTGGGCCTACCATCCGGAACTGTTTCCCTTGCTTATAAAGAAAAAATCCTTTGTGCAAATTGCCTGACGGAGGTTACCTACAATACATTGTGGCAAGAGGAAGGAAGAGGGGGAAAAAAAGACGAACTGCCTTTTCTGATTGTGGTCTGTTGCCACAGCCACAGATTGGGGAGAAATATTTGACTATATTGGGTCTGGACCTAAGTGAGGAGGTGAGGAGGAATAATTTTTATCTAGCTGTTCCTATTGTGACCTTTAGTCACCGCCTTACAGGATCTTCTGGTCCAAAGGATCCTGTCTGTCCGGCCATTGTTTGTCTGTGCAGAGGAGGACTTTCAGTCCCAACTATCTGCGACTGATCTGCGTACCCTAATTCCCCACTCCAGGTATTGCCTACTCGGGGTACCTGGCACAATGGCAGACAATGTCTCGTATTCAGCCATACAGGTCCCCCAATTGTCCCCCCCACAACAACAACAAAAACGCAGATCCTCTGAGCCTTTTTTCTTGTTATTTATATGTTGAAAGAAACTTTTTTATTATCTTTGACTTTTGTTGCAAGTCTTTGTTCATTCTGAGCTTTTGTTTTCCTGACATCACCTTTGCAGATTCGAGCTATCTGCTGATATTCTGCCCTCGTTATGTGTCCCTCTTTCCATTTTTAATGGGTTTTTTTGTCTTAATGGTTTTTTTGTCTTTCACTTTATCAGAAAGATTTTTGTGCAGCCATGCTGGTTTCTTCTTGGATTTCTTTTTTTCCCCAGTGATATTGTGCTGGATTGGGCTTTTATGGATATATTTTTCAGAGCTTCCCATGCTTCTTGAGTTGTTTTCCCCTTTTGGATCCATGGTACTTTTCTTAGGCTGTCTCTGAGTTTGTTAAAATCAGCTCTTTTAAAGTTTAAGATTCTAATTCAGGGGTGTCAAGCTGCTGGCCCACGGGCCGGATGCATCATAGTGAAACCGCACCCACCCCACTGCTGGCAATGGCAAAGAAATCACAATACATTGCGAAACATCACGTGATGTGTGTTTGACACCCTTGCTTTAGTTGGATTATATTCTGTTGCTTGTGTTTGCATTATATTGAATTGAAATATGACATGGTCACTCTCGCCCAAGGTTCTGGCAATTTCAACTCCCTCTACCACTTCTTCTCTATTAATAAGAATTAGGCCCAGTATAGCTTCTCCTCTAGTTCTCTCCTTTTGAATGACAAAGTTGTCAGCTAAGATCTGTTCGATCTCCCACTTGCTGCAGATTTTGTCTCCCAGTTCATATCAGGGAAGTTAAAGTTTCCCATTCCTACTGTGGTATGTTTCCTACATACATTTGTTAACTGATTAGTAAAGAATTTATCTATTTCTTCTGTTTGGTTGGGTGGCCTATAGCAATGTAATTTTTCCCCTTTTATATTGCCCCATATGGATTTTCATCCTTGGTTTTGTGTATTTCTATAGAAATGTAGTGATCTTTTTTATACAATGGAGCACCACCTCCTCTTTTGTTTGGTCTGTTTCTTTTGGAACAGTTTGTATCCTTCCATCTTTTCAATCATGAGTTTCATCTCACCAAGTTTCAGTAATGGCAACTATGTCATATCTGCCTTTGTATACTAATGATTCAAGTTCACCTTTTTTGTTTTCTAAACTTTTGAGCGTTAGTGTATAGGCATTTCAATCCTTTATGGGTCTTGGGTATGTTTCTTATATCTCCTACTTTGTAACTGGGATTTACATCCTTTCCATCACTCTCAACTTCATTGTTTTTCTTTTTTTATTTCTTCTTTGTCTTTACTCTTTACTCCCTACCTTCTTATGTGATTGGTTATCTTTTTACATAAAATTAGGTTCTAAAAATCATCCCCCTCAATTTTAGTTTAAAGCCCTTTTGAAAAGATGAGCCAGTCGTTTTCCAAATATATTCTTTCCAGTTTTTGTGAGGTTTACTCCATCCCTTGCCAGTAGCCCTTCATGTAAGAAATGCAAACTATGGTCTAGGAAGCTGAAGTCCTGCGGACAACACTAGTTTTAAGTCAGTAGTTTATTTCTAAAATACTCTGCTCCCTCATTGGATGTTGGCCTTTTGTTGGAAGCATAGATGAAAACACCATTTATGCTTCTAATTCTTTAATTTTCTTCCCAAGCTGTTCGTAGTCTCTTCTTATTGTTTTCAGAGTCATTGTTGTGTCATTGGTCCCCATATGTAGGAGATGAAAGGGTAGTAATCCATGGGATTGATTATTTTAATAAGGAACTCAGTTACGTGATTGATTTTTGCTACATGGAGACAATATACCTCCGTAGATAGGTAGAGATAGAGATAAAGCAGGGGTTCCCAACCAAGGGTGCTTGCACCCTCTGGGAGTGCGAGACAATATTAAAGGGGGTGCGAAAACCTAGTTTTATAAGTTTCAAAATTATGTTGTACATGCACAATTCATTATTTCAAATATTTGTAAGGGGTGCAAGAATATATCAGGAGCATTCTGGGGTGCGGGGTATAGAAAAGGTTGGGAACCACTGAGGTAGAGTAATATAGATATAGAGAGTAATGTAGATAGAATAATTACTCTCTCTCTCTCTCCATATAGACAGACAGACAGACAGACAGAGAAATAGAAATGAGAGTTTGACTTAATCATAAAATTAGAGATAGAGTAATGGAGAGTGAGTTAGTGTGTGTGAGAGAGATAAAGGTAGATGTGTTATCTACCCAAGCCCCCGAAAAATAGAATTTTATGATTGACTCAGTATTTGAACATGAATCTAACTAGTCTTCTATATGCTAATTGAATCATTAATATTAGAGGTTAAACTAGAATTTTGATGTTTTCATGGTAATATAAGGTTTTTTTCTTCTTTCACATATTCTGCAGACATTTTTTTAAACAATAATGAAGCTAACCCATTAATATGAATCTTACAGAGAAAGCGGATGCCAAAAAGAGCAATGTGAACAACAGAGAATGAGAAGCAGCCTTAAAATATACCACCAGTCAAAATCTTTTCTACCTCCTCCGGAAAGTGTAAAAACTCTTCTCCTTCCTCAGCAGATAAGAAACATGGGAGAGAATAACAAGAACAGAGTTTTGAGATGAAAAAATAAAGTATATACAACTCAAGGAAACAAGGAGGTCAGTTTTCAAATAAAGAAAAAAAAGGGAAATAGCTGGAAGTCAGTGGGAAGGAAAAGATATCTTGGCTATCCAAAATGGGTAGGTATTAATTAAAGCCTTTGAGGAATCAAAGAACCTCCAAATAAGATTAAGAGATGAGAAATATTTTTGACCTCTTCAAGAATCCAAGAATATCAGTGTTGGAAAAACCCACAGAGTGCCTATTGTGGGAAAAATACGGATTGCAGATCACGGCTGAATATGCGCGAGAGGATCCACCCTATGAAAAATCATGGAATGTTTGGAGAGCAGCAAAACATTACTCAGAATAGCTTCTTCATGATTCATGGAAGGACCGATTCTGGAGAGAAGCTCTACCACTGCTTCCAATACGACAAAAGATTTAGCCTGCACACAAATCTGGTGATACACAGGACTCACAGTGGAAAGAAACCATGAGTGTCCAGACTTTGGGAAAAGTTTCACTTGGAATTCCAAGCTGGTGATACACCAAAGCCACACAGGAGAAAAACTATATGAGTGTCTTGATTGTAGGAAAAGTTTCAGCTGGAATTTCAATTTGGTGAGAGATATGACGACTCATACTGAGGAGAAACTCTTTGAATGTCTTGATTGTGGCAAAGGCTTCAGTAATAATTCCAACCTGATCATACACCAGAGGACTCACACAGGAGTGAAACCATATGAGTGTCCGGATTGTGGGAAATGTTTCAGTCAGAATGGCAATCTAGTGAGACACCAAAGAACTCACAGAGGAGAAAGACCATATGAATGTTCAGATTGTGGGAAAAGTTACAAATGGGATTCTTCCTTGGTGATACACCAGAGGACTCACACGGGAGAGAAACCATACAAGTGTCCAGATTGTGGGAAAGGATTCAGGCAGAATTCCAACTTGGTGATACACCAGAGGTCTCACACTGGAGAAAAACCATATGAGTGTCCAATTTGTGGGAAAGGTTTCCAGCAGAAAGCTAACCTGGTGAGTCATCAGAGTATTCACACGGGAGAGAAACCATATGAGTGTCTGTATTGTAGGAAACGTTTCAGTAAGAATTCCAACCTGGTGATACACCAGAGGACCCACACAGGAGAAAAACCATATGAGTGTCCAGATTGTGGCAAAAGTTTCAGTCAGAATTCCTACCTGGTGAGACACCACAAGACTCACACAGGAAAAAAAACATATGAGTGTCTCGAATGTGGGAAACGTTTCAGTTGCAGTTCCAATTTGGAGACACACAAGAGGACTCACACGGGAGCGAAACTCTTTGAATGTCTTGATTGTGGCAAAGGCTTCAGTCATAATTCCAACTTGATCATACACCAGAGGAGTCACACAGGAGCGAAACTGTATGAGTGTCCGCATTGTGGGAAAAGTTTCAGTCAGAATGGCAATCTAGTGAGACATCAAATTACTCACACAGGAGAGAAAGCATATGAGTGTCCAGATTGTGGCAAAAGTTTCAGTCAGAATTCCTACCTGGTGATACACCAGAGGACCCACATAGGAGAAAAACCATATGAGTGTCTGGATTGTGGGAAAAGTTTCAGTCAGAATTCATACCTGGTGAAACATCAGAAAACTCACACAGGAGAAAAACCATATGAGTGTTATTGTGGGAAAAGTTTCTCTCATAATTTTGTTCTGGCGATACACCAGAGAACTCACACAGGAGAGAAACCATATCAGTGTCCAGATTGTGGGAAAGGTTTCAGTCAGAATTCCTACCTGGTGATACACCAGAGGACTCACACGGGAGAGAAACCATATAAGTGTCCAGATTGTGGGAAAGGTTTCAGGCAGAATTCCAACTTGGTGATACACCAGAGGTCTCACACTGGAGAAAAACCATATGAGTGTCCAATTTGTGGGAAAAGTTTCCAGCAGAATGCTAAGCTGGTGAGCCATCAGAGTATTCACACGGGAGAGAAACCATACGAGTGTCTGTATTGTGGAAAACGTTTCAGTCAGAATTCCAACCTGGTGATACACCAGAGGACCCACATAAGAGAAAAACCATATGAGTGTCTGGATTGTGGCAAAAGTTTCGGTCAGAATTCCTACCTGGTGAAACACCAGAAGACTCACACAGGAGAGAAACCATATGAGTGTCTTGAATGTGGGAAAAGTTTCAGTTGCAGGTCCAATTTGGAGACACACAAGAGGACTCACACGGGAGAGAAACCATATAAATGTCCAAATTGTGGGAAAAGTTTCACTCATAATTCCAACCTGATCATACACCAGAGGAGTCACACAGGAGTGAAACCGTATGAGTGTTCAGATTGTGGGAAAAGTTTCAGTCAGAATGCCAATTTAGGGAAACATCGAATTACTCACACAGAAGGAAAACCATACGAGTGTTTGGATTGTGGGAGAAGTTTCAAATGGGATTCCTCTCTGGTGAAACACCGGAGAACTCACACAGGAGAGAAACTATGAGTATCCTGATTGTAGGAAAGGTTTCCCTGGCAATACAGCAAAGGATTCACATGGGAGAGAAACCATATCAGTGTCCAGACTGGGAAAAGTTTCAGTTGGAGTTCCAGTTTGGTGATACACGGGAAGACTCACACAGGAGAGGAACCGTATCAACGTTCAGATTGTGGGAACGATTTTAGTAGATCTTGCCTTAGAAATCATGTAGGGTTACACATAGGGGAGTAACCATTCAGATGTCCTGATTGCAAACTGTTTTGCACAAAATACCTCCCTTATCACACCTAAGAAATTCCATGAGGAAAAATGTGTTGTGTGTAGTGGAATCTTGAATTTTGTTTTCTGTGTGACCTGAGCTTCCTTGCCTCTGGCCCAGTGCGCTAGTTCTCTTTCACGGAGTGGAGTGGAACTGCCATGCTGGGCGAGAGTAAAGGAGCTTGCATCTCTTATTAGGTATGTTTACTACCTTGAGTTATTTCTACATAAAGGTAGGATATAAATATATATGTATGTATATATGTATTTCTATTTGTTAAGAAAATATATATTGTAACTCAATTCATGGTGACTTTGGGTGGCTTGCAGCAATAACACCATATATTGCAAAATGGCAAACCTTAAAGCCTCTGCATTTAACATGTTGCCCTACAAATACAGAGCACTTCTAACAAGGCGGATGGCATTTTTGATGGTCTGGGAATCCCACAAAAGTGATTCTTACTTCAGTTAAGAAGTTCACCAGGTCTCCTGGCCTTACTAACTACGTTCATGCCTGTTGCCATTCTTGCTCAAAACTTGCAAGGAGTTAACTTGAAGAAGTTAACCGCAGGACTAGCGTCACATAAATTTGATAATTAAAGAAATGCAGACTCCTCTTTTTCCTCTGATTGATTTAAAACATTTATGCAGCCAGACATATTATGACAAACTCTGGCTGGCTCACAATCAATTATTAACATAAAAACTATAAAAACCAAAGGCATAAAACCAAAAAACCTGGTGCCGAGTCAAGCTTCTGATGTGCAGGCATCTCTTATCCCAGTGCTTAGGGGATAAAAGCCTGCCATACTTCAGGGGCAGAGTCTGCAACAGAAAAGGTTCACTTACTAGCTCCTATCAGATGGCAATATTTAAGGGCAGAGGCTAGGAGTGGGTCCACCCTATCGAACGTGGTAGAACAGATAACATGGAAAAATAATAAAGGTGGGAAAACAATGACAGGTACCCTGGTGGCTCAGTGGTCAGAATGCAGTATTGCCACTGATTCTGCCCACAGCCTGGAATTCGATCTGACAAGGCCTTCCATCCTTCTGAGATTGATAAAATGAGGACCCGGATTGTTGGGAACAATATTCTTGCAGGGTAAACGGAGAGTGCTATAAAGCACTGTGGGGTGGTATATAATTGTAAGTGCTATTGCTATAACGAATAGCTTTAAAGATGATGACCAGCATCTTCAATTGCGCCTGTAAAGAAAAGAATCCAGGGCAGCTCGCACCACAAAGAAATTACATGCACAACTTAAGGGCCCCCATTGCTGTGTGCACTGCTGCGTTCTGGACCAGTTAAAAGTTTCTGGGTGGCTCAGGCCAGTGATCCAAACGGGGGGTGCCCAAGGCATGAGTGACCCATGTGCAAGGGCTGATCCAGGAAAGGACACAATTCGCGCACTAGATGAATCTCTGCAAAGCCCTTCCCCCGATCATGATCTCCTCAAGGAGGAGCCATGAGTCCAGGTTGCACACCAGCTCGGTCGCCCAAAGAGATCACATGACCCCAGAACACAAACTGTCAGATATGAGTCAATCGCCAAGCATCATAATTTTGTTCACGTGAGAAGGGCAATGCTGCAATGGTTGCAAGTGTGAAAAATGGTCACAAGTCACTTTTTAAACTGCTGTTGTAACTTCAAATGGTTGATAATAAAATGTTGTAAGTCCAAGACTACCTGTACGTTATTGGGTATCATAGGATGGGGAGGTCTCCGCTAGAGGTTTCATGTAGACCAGGGGTAGGCAGTCTTGGCTCTTTTATATTTAATATTTATTTGCTACGTATATGTAGGGATGTGGGTTTATACATATGTTGTTCATAGTACGTTTAGGTGTGTGTCATGTATGTGTTTCACTTTGAGAGCAGGCAACTAAATTTCATTTTTGATGTGTGCCATTGTGCCCACAGTATAAAAACAACAATAAAGGTTATCTAACTCCCAGAATTCCTGAGCTGGCATGGCTCAGCTTGGAAACCTCTCCCTTTGCCCTCAGCATGGCTGGCTCAGGAATTCTGGGAGTTGAAGTCCACGAGTCATAAAAGAACCAAGGTTGCCTACCCTTGATGTAGACGTTAAAAAAGAAAAGGAAAAAACTTGAGTCCCAGAGCATCACAAACTGCAGGGGTCCGAGACTCGGCCCCTCTTCTCCTACCCACACCAACTGGAACCAGACATGGAGGTAGAAGTAGGACCACCGTAATAAAGTGCCTCCCATTTCTAGTCCCCAAGGCTGGTCCAGAATATCATGGTCGATAGTACTGAAACCTGATGAGAGGTCTAGGAAGGACATAATGGTTGTACCCCGTCTATCTCAAATCCTCTAAAAGTTTCATGAGAGTTGCAACTAATGCTGTTTTGTTGCTATGCCCTGGGCTGAACCCAGATAGCAAAGGTGTCTTTCTCCCGCACAGCCCTTTCTCCAGGTGGCCAAGTCAGAGCTGCAATCAGGGGGCGAGCTGAAGTTCCAGGCTGCCAGCCTTTCATTGCCCTCTTCAGCTGCACTTAGACAAGATCTTAATCTGCAGCAATGCCTTGAACTCCTCTGCCAGGAAAACCTCTCCTGATTTTCTTTTGCACAGCAAACGGCTGTTGAAGGTATGAAGCTGGCCAGGATGCCAACTGTCCAGAAGGGAGGAAATGACTCTTTCAGGCCTCTCCTGAACTTGGGAAAGAAATATGGGTGGTTCTTGGGTTGTGACAGCAATTGGCGCCTGAATTTGCATAGCTAAGGGGGGATGGGGCACCAATAGGAAATACCGGGTTTGTTAGCTAAACGTGGAAGTAAAAGAAAATACAATCACAGAAGAGACAAGGGGTCAAGCCTTAGTCTTGCAGCTTCGTTAAATTGTAGAGGCAGGTTTCGAGGAGTTATCCTGCACCCCTAATCCCCAAGAGGAAAAACCACGGATCTAAGGGAGATGCAAAACAAACCATCAATCAAACTCTTTCCCACTTCTTCCAGAAAGTGTTAAAACTCTTGTCATTTGTCAGCAGATGGAGACTGTGGAGAGAATAACAGGAACAGAGTGTTTTCAAGTGGGAAAAATAGATTATGTGGAACTCAAGAAAATATTGCCTGAAAAAGTAAAAAGATATAATTGCCAAATTGAGAAAAAGAGGGAAATACCTGGAGGTGAGTGGGAAGGAAAAGGCCCTGTGGATAGCCAAAATGGGCAGGCATTAATTAAAGCCTTTGAGGAAGGAAAGAGTGGCTTGAATCAAAGCGCCACCAGATAAGAGATCAGAAATATTTTTGGCCTCATCAGGAAAAGAGGAATTTGAAAAATGGTCCAGCTGAGGCTGCCTGTGTGCAAGTTGTCTGAAGCACTGAAGGTCTTTGAAATTCTTTATTGATCAAATTGATATGTCCTTAACCCTGAGGTAAACTTCTCTGATTTAACTCCTTGCAGAAATGGCATCAGGAATGAATATAGATAGTAAGGCGAAGAGACCTGTTTAACTTCTAATTTGAATAAAAGCAAAAAATCAACTTTTGGGGACTCCACGATCATCCAAAAGACATCAACCTTGCTAGAGGTGCCCTGTATTTGAGGGCAAGTACGTTAAATGCTGAAGTTTTGCATTTTGCCATTTGCAATATATGGGGTTTATTGGTTTCTGTATTAAAGTATTATTGCTGTAAACCATGTGGAGTCACCATGAGTTGGGCTGCCATATACATTTTCTTGTAAGTAAAAATACATACATAAATGTATACATGTTTATAGAATATCCCCTTTTATTATATGTAGAAAAAGGCAAAGATATCTTAAGAGATCCAAGCTTCTTTTATCTGGCCCAGCACAGCAATTCACCTTGACTCCATAAAAGGAAAAAACCTCACTGATCCAGAAAAAGGAAGCTGAGATCTCCTCCCTCATGGGTGATACTAAGACACGTTTGACTAAAAAGAATAAGGCAACCGGGCTTCCAATGAGAGATGAGAAACAGAGTTCAAGATTCCTTTACACACATCGAATTTCACCTCGTTTGTGTGAAACACTGTCCGCAGTCTGGGCATTGGAATGGTTTTTGTACGTAACCTTACATGATTTATAAGACTAGACCTACTAGTGAAATCCAGACATTCAAAATGGTTTCTCTCCCATGTGAGTCCTCTGGTGTGTCACCAGCTTAGAATTATGCTGAAAACCTTTCCCACAATCTGGACACTCATAAGATCTTTCACCAGTGTGAGCCCGCTGGTGTATCGCCAGGTGGGATTTCTGTCTAAAACTATTCCCACAATCTGGAGTCATGGTTTCACTCCTGTGTGAGTCTTCCGGTGTATCACCAGCTTGCAATTATGTTTTCCATAAAAAAGGCAGTGTGTCGGGTATTTATAACACTGATATTCTTATATGTATGACTAGGCCAAAAATATTTCTAATCCCTCGTCTGGTGGTGCTTTGATTCAAGACACTCTTTCCTTCCTCAAAGGCTTTCACGAATGACTTTGGCTATCCAAAGGATCTTTTCCTTCCCACAGAGGTTATACCTTTTTACCTTTACATGCAATACTTTATACATGCAATACAATTTTTCCACCTCAAAACTCTTTTTGTGTTATTCTCTCCCTTGTATCCTTTGCTGAAGAAAAAGAAGGGTTTTAACACATTCTGGAAGAATTAGAAAAGATTTTTGTTGATGCTCTGTTCTGCATTTTAATGCTGCTTCTTGTTATCCAGAGTCCTTCTCTTGGCATCCTCTTTTTCTAAAAGATTCATATTAATGGACTAGTTCCATTATTGTTCAAAGAATGGCTGCAGAACCTGTGAAAACAGCAAAAAAAACCACCATGTTACTGTGAAAAAAACTAACATATCACCATGGTAGATAAATCACTAACGTTAATTATAATTCACTGGGCGCATAGAAGACTAGCAAGATCCAAGTTCCAATATTCACTCTTAAACATCCAAAGATGAAATTTTTTTTTTTTTTGGCTTCGATAAATCAAATTATTAGCATTGCAAATTGTTATTATAAAATATACCTGAAAATACTAAAGATTATACAGATTATACATGTATATGCACACAGAAATACAAACCTATGAATTTATGTATGTAAAAATGTTTAGAAATAAAATGATGTCCAAATCCTATAAAGCATTGAAAGAAAGCATCCCTTTTGACCAAGAAACTCCTCACTTCCCAAGAAAATACATGTCAATAAAATTTCAAGGAATCAAGTGTTACGTGAAGACGGAGGGAACTGGGCGGTTAAGAAATATGAAAAACAAAGATTTCTTAAATGTCCCAAATCGCCCAGCAGAAAATCACAGGCAGCAGTTTTAAATCATGCAGCATAAGGATTACATTTGGGGAGGGAAAGCCTATACAGCAGCAGCCGGCATGTTTCGGCCTCGTCCCTTCGCTGCTTCCACACCGGGGAGGAAACCAAACAGCCCGACTTGCTCCCGGCTTCTCCTCCGACCTGCCCTCCATTCATTCACCCGCCAGGAACCGCTTCGACCCTCCAGACATCGGAAGAGGCTCCGCCGACGCCGTCCTCCTCCCGTGGGTGAGCTGGAAGAGGAAGTTCCTCTGTCCTCCATCTCTACTCTAGCATTCCAATACTCTATGGTTTCATTTCGTTCCAGCTCATCCTCTCTCCCTCCGGTACTAGCACTAGCGATACCGCTGCTATACTCTATTCTCTATCTTCTAGGCACGCGTCTTGCCGATTTGTAGCACGCCATCTAGTGACATAAGGCTGAAAATCACTCTCGTCCTATGTCTACCCTTAAGCTCTGGCAAGGTTTTCTCATTGTTTCCGGGCTTCTTTATGTGCCATCAAGTCGACTCGTATTCCATTCCCACTGAGCACATCGATAGCTTCTCTCCCCGAGGATCTCTCCCAAACCTTTTCTTTCAGGTCTCCTCAAAGTGCAGTCATTGTCCCTCTTCCTGCAACGAAACCAAAGGAAAGTATCAATCTCGTGTAAGGGGAAATGATGGACAACAGCCAATAAGAAAGGGCATCTTCCTTGGGGTCTGGAGAAGATGGTTCCAGCCAGTTTTTCATTTTCTTCGGGGCGGGTGCAAGATAACTCCTTGAAACCTGCCTCTGCAGCTTAGTGGAGCTGTAAGAGTGAAGCTTGACAGTACTTAACTTTATAAGATTAGTCTGCTGCCCAGTGCTTTTTTTGCCGGAACTCATACATGTCATACAACCTGCCTTGCCTACCCCACAAGGTTCCATCCGAAAAAAGTGCCGGAACTCCGTTCTGGGCATTCTATTACAAAAAGCCGCTGCAACTCCCTAAAAGTTCATGAAGCTTTTTTTGTCTAAACCAGGGGTAGGCCACCTTGGCTCTTTTATGACTCGTGGACTTCAACTCCCAGAATTCCTGAGCCAGCCATCCTGAGGGGAAAGGGAGAGTTTGCAAACTGAGCCATGCTGGCTCAGGAATTCTGGGAGTTGAAGTCCACGAATCATAAAAGAGCCAAGGTTGCCTACCCCTGGTCTAAACGGTTGCCAGCTTCGTCCTATTAATAGAACAATGAAACATAAGAGAAACCCGGAAGCACCCACTGGGATTGCCTCTGAGCCACATCTAGTTGGAAGGTAGATATGATCTTCCTGTCTGTGTTATTGGTGAGTTTAAATCTTGCTAAGGGGCAGAATTGCTCAGAGCAGCCTTCCCATCTTTCAGCCATATTATTCCCAAGCAGCTTGAAGAAAAACACTTGGAGGCAACCAGTTTGCAGGAAGCTGGTGCAAAGATCCCTGCTCTGCATGCTGTGATAAAATCAAAAAGTACTACAAGAAAGGCTGCACATCTTTATGAAACCAGGTTAATTGTTTTTTTATTGTCATTTCTTCCCCATAAAAGATTTCAGTTTGTATTTCAATTGAATTATACAGTTTATACATTATAGGAAAGGTGGGGAAAAATGCCTAGTTGATTTATCTTGTTCTTTTTTTTGTTACATCTCAAAAACCCAGCATTTTACGAAGGGTGTGTAGACTTTTTATATCTGCCGTATAGCGGGAGGTTTGGGGGATAAGATTATATAGATGCAGATATATGCAGACACAAATATAACTACACACACTTACAAATGTATATATGTTGAAAACCCACGTGTTTTCCGCCTGCAAATCTTCCCAAAATGGTTACAGTCAAACTTTCTGATCTAATTTTAGAGATGTGGGGGCTTTAACTGATGAAATGATGCCTAAAGGCTCTGCAAGATTTGAAGCACCAGTTTTGCCCATGCAAGTCCCCAGCGCCAAGTAAGGGCAAAAAATATTGTCCACAATCCCTCTGGTGACATCCACATTCAAGTAATCCTCACCTACTGACCACAATTGGAACTGTCATCTGTGCCACTAAGAAGCCTGATCGTTAAACATGATGTCACATGACAGGGCCAGGAGAACCGTCAATCTAATAGTGGCATCAGTGGTGGCTGAGATCCGACCTCCAAGCAGAGGGGGCGCAGCGGAGCTGAAGGGAATTAAAGCCATCGAGTATTGCTAGAAAGGATATCGGGAAGAAGAGGAGAAGAACTTCCTCTTCCGGCTCATCCATGGGAGGATGGCAGGCAGCTCTCGTGCTCTTCCCGGGGCTAAAGCATCAGCTGGACGGTGAGTGGAGGGCAGGAGGAGAAGCCGGAAGCAAGTAGGGCTGCCTGGTTTCCTCCACGTGTAAAAGCAGAGAAGCAACTAGGCTGAAGCACGTCGGCTGCTTCTTTCTCTCCCCAAATGTTATTACACTTGTGCTGTATAATTTAAAACTTCTGCCTGTAGTTTTGTACTGGGAAGTGGGAGAGAGTAAAATTTAAAGGCCTGGAGGCTAAAACCTATGCAAAACGGTTGCAGGATTGGGGTTTGGCCAGTCTTAGGAAAAGGAGGATGGGGCGCGGGGGGGGGAATATGCTACAAAGAGGAGGGGATCAGTTTATTTTCTAAAGCATCAGAAGACAAGACATGAAACAATGGGTGGAAACTAAACAAGGAGAGGAGCAATCTGGAATTAAGGAGAAACTTCCTAACAGTGAGAACAAGTAATGGAACAGCTTGCCTTCAGAAGTTGTGGGTGCTTGGACATGTGATAAAGCAAAGAAATATTGGAGTAGGATTCATAGTTTAATGCAGAAAATTCTTAAAGTGACTATAAAGAAAACAATATGTCCATAAAATCCCAGGGAATCAATCTTAACTTCAAGGAGACTTTTAAAATCTTCCAACCACTAGAGCAGTGGTTCTCAACCTTTTTAATGCCGCGACCCCCAACCAGTCATAAGTCAAGGACTACTCAACCGGTCGTAAGTCAAGGACTACTCAACTGGTGCAGCACCATTTGCAGAATGGGACTTTTGGCGGGCTCAGCAGGGAAGAGACAGCCTGGACAATTCCTATTGGCTTTTGAAAGTCAATAGAATTAGACTCTATTCAAGAGAGTCTATTCTATTGGCTTTCAAAAGCCAATAGAATAAAAGGGAGTAGCACAGCTAAGGAAAAGAGGGAAAAAAAAGGCGGACTGCATTGTCTGGCGACCCCCGTGAAATGGTCGTTCGACCCCAAATGGGGTCCCGACCCACAGGTTGAGAACCACTGCAATAGAGAATTGAAGTCACCCGTTTTAGAGCTTACAGAACCAGTTGAGTAAAATCTGGGTTAGGAAGGAATAAGGAAGAGTTGCTTCTCTTCTTTTACATCATGGAGGAAACCAGGTAGCCCCACTTGCTCCCGGCTTCTTCTCTTCTCTGATCTGACCTCATCTCATCTTCCAGCTGCTCCTTCCGGCTCTGAGAAAAACAGGAGAGTTGCCCCCTCCCCATGCCTCCATCCTCCTATGGGTGAGCCTGGAGATTCCTCTGCCCTTCTCTCCTCAACATCCTTTCTAGCAATACTCGCTGGTTTTAACTCCTTTCACTTCAGTTGCCCCCCCCCCTCCTGTTTGATGTCCCAACTCAGCCACCATCAACGCTGTTATTTGATGGGTGGGTTTTTTAGGCGCTAGTCAGAACTCTCAATTATTAATCATGCATATTCTCTGGGTTAGGTCAGGGCTTTTCAACCGGTGGTACACATACCATTGGTGGTACGTGACCACCTGGCTGGTGGTATGCGGCGTCACCTTCCTTCCCCTCCCCCTTGTCGCTTTCCTCCCCCCCCCCCGTTCCTTCCCAGCTTATTTGTTTGTGGAAAACGCTGCTTGGTGGCAGCCTGCACAAACCCTACTGAACGTGCCCTGCAGGGGAAGCGCGAAGAGCACAGGTGCAGAGCAAGGCCCCGCCCTCCCCAGGGACTCATTGTGCAGCAACTGGATTCTTCTGGTGAACGCAGGTCAGCAAGATCTGTGTGGCCCTTCCCCTCCCTCTTCTTACTTCACAACAAGCGCTAGCCTGATAGCCCCTTCCGGGCTGGGAGAAGCGCACACTGTTGCTTGTATCGCAGGCTTAAAATCTGAAACAGCCGGGCTCTTGGCTGACTGATCGCCTTTCTTTTTTCAGGAGATGCGCCTTTGCAGCAGGTTTCCTCTTCCGTTAATTATCGGAGGTTTGAAAGGCAAGCTACTCCCGGAGCGTAAAAGTAGAAGGCCCAAACGGCCAGAGTGACGCAGCTCTCCGACTCAGCTTCAGGGGGAAAAATGTAGGGGGAAAATGACTGGGAGAAGTAGTTGGTTCTAACATACGTGCCTGAAAACGGGAGGTGAACCGGCCACATCCCCGCCCTGCCTGTGTGCTCTCCTCTCCTCTGCGCGCACACAGGCAGGCCGTGATGTGTTGCTGCCTGCCAAAACCAGGCTGGGGTCTGGGCGGCGTAGGACAGGACGAAGGAACGAGGAAGGAAGGGACAATGGGAGCTGCAGCACTGCAGCCTTCCAGTCCTGTGAGCGTCCTTCGGCTGTGCTCCAGGCCTCGCATTTATCAGCTGTTTGGCAGCCAAGAAACAGCCTTTCAGCTTCAGGCCACTCCATCGGCCCTAGATGATGGGGGGGGATCTTGACAGACCTGAACACGGGGCCCTATCTAACAAGATGAAATTCAATTCAGAGAAAAGTAAAGTCTTACACTTAGGCAAGAAAATCAAAAATTACACATATAGATTGGGTGAAACCAGGCTTATAGCAGTAACTGTGAGGGAACTTGGAGTCTTAGTGGACAATCAATTAAATATGAGCCAACAGTGTGCAGCTGCAGCCAAAAAAAGCAATGCAATCCTAAATTGCATTAACAGGGATTTAATCAAGATCATGTGAGATATTAACACCACTCTATAAAGCCTTAGAATACTGCAACCAATTTTGGTCTCCACACTATAAAAAGATGTTGAAACTCTAGAAAAAGTCAGAGAAGAGCAGCAAAGATGATCAGAAGACTGGAGGCTAAAACATATGAAGAATGGTTACAGGAACTGGGCATGGCTAGACTAGTGAAGAGAAGGACCAGGGGAGACATGATAGCAGGAGGAGGGGGGGGTCAACCTATTCTCCAAAGCATCTGAAGTCCAGACAAGGAATAACAGATGGAAACTGATCATGGAGAGAGTCAACCTAGACATGAGGAGAAATTTTCTGACAGTGAGAACAATCAACCAATGGAACAGACTACCTTCAGAAGTTGTTGGTGCTTCATCACTGGGAGGCTTTCAAGAAGAGACTGGATTGCCATCTGTCAGAAATGGTGTAAGTCTCCTGCTTGGGCTTGAACTAGATGACCTACAACAGACATATCAAACACAAGGCCCGGGGGCCGGATGCGGCCCGCGAAGTGGTTTCATGCGGCCCGTGAAGCTATCCTGAAAACAGGGAACGGCCCCCGCTGCCTTGGCCCTGGCCCAGGCCTGCTGAGAGCCAAAGTCCAATTTTGTGGTGGCCATCTATGCTGAAATGCATTCAATCTTAGCTCCATAAGCCTCCCCCCTGCATGGTCTGAGAGGAACAGCAAGGGTCCTCCAGTGGCACTTGCCCTGGTCCCACCCCCTTCTGCCAGAGACCCTCAGATCTATCCCACTCCTGCCCAGGCCCCCACAGGCACCCTTGACGATAACAGTGTAGAGCTGGCCACACCCACCCAGTAGGCCGCACCCACCCTGGCCACACCCACCCGGCCCGCTGAGGGCAACCGGAATGCTGATGCGGCCCTCAATGAAATTGAGTTTGACACCCCTGACCTACAAGGTCCCTTCCAACTCTGTTATTCTATTCTAAAAGTTAGAGGGCCCTAATTCTAATGAGTCCTGTGCTTTAGTATTTGACTCTCAATTCCTCTCTCAACCCCAGAAAGGAGCCGAGCCCTCTATATCTCTCAACTGCAGCTCTCACTTGCTGGTCTGCTTGCCTGGGACTCTTACCTCTTCCCACGTTGCCGTCACATGAGATCCTACCTTAATGACCCACAAGGTCCTGGAGTTGTAATGACATGTGGAACTGCCAGGATTGCCCTCACTAAGCAAAGTGGTCCCCTTACTTTTTATAAGACCCGTTTCACAGCAATGGAAATTATGGCGCCAATTTCTGTCGCAACCAGAGTAACAACCTATATTTCTTTTCCAAGCTCAGGAGAAGGCTGGAAGAGTCATTTCCTCCCTTCTGGACAGTTGGCATCCTGGCCGGCTTCATACCTTCAACAGCAGTGCGCTATGCATAAGAAAATCATGAGAGGTTTTCCTGGCAGAGAAGTTCAAGGCATTGCTGCAGATTAAGATCTTCCATTAGTACAGCGGAAAGAGGGCAATGAAAGCCTGGCAGCCTGGAACGTCAACTCATCTTCTGCTTGCAACTCCGATTTTACCACCCGGAGAAAGGGCTGTGTAGGAAAAAGTCACCTGATCCCTTTTCAGGCCGGGTTCAGGCCGGGACACATCATCAAAACCTCATTGGTTGCAATGCTCATGGACTTTTGGAGGGCCTGGGATAGATGGGATACAAGCATTTTGTGCCATGGAACCGGACAAGCTGCCTGGAAATGTTCAGTGATGAGATTTATCCTGCACCTCCAAGAGAAAGAACTGGCTGGTATAGACTTCAGTGATTCCCCAAGGGAGGTGCCCTTTTCTTGTTGCCTGATGGCACATTTTGTTTCTCCTGCAAAAGAAGCTCCTGGCTCAGTTGGAGCGACTAGACTTGGATCGTCCTGGAGAAAAGTGATGCGTGTGGTAGCTAAGAATGGAAAACGGCACTTAATTAAAAAATGTTTGAAACTCCGGATACAGAGAGAGAGAAAATGAGTGTATTTCTGGCCGCTAGGTGGAGCTCTAACACAACACCGGCGCCTGGAAAACGGCAGCTGAGGTGAAAGGAGTTAAAACCAGCGAGTATTGCTAGAAAGGCTGTCGAGGCGAGAAGAGTGACAGAGGAACCGCCTCTTCCGGCTCATCCTTCGGAGGATGGAGAGTTGGAGGGCGGCTCTCGCGCTCTTCCCAGGGTCGAAGCAGTAGCTGGAAGGTGAGTGGAGGGCAGGTGCGGAGGAGAAGCCGGGAGAATATTCGGCCGTTTGGTTTCCTCCACGGTGTGGAAGCAGCGAAGCAAAATACTAGGCTAAAACATGTCGGCTGCTGCTCCATGTTCCTTCTCTCCCCCAAATGTTATTACTACTAATGCTGTATAATTTAAAACTTCTGCCTGGAAGTTTTTAAGAAGAGACTGGACGGCCTTTTGTCTGAAATGGTATAGGGTTTCCTGAGCAGGGGTCTTCTCCTTCTTCTCCTCCCCTTCCCCTTCTCCTCCTCCTTCTCCTCCTCCCCCTCCCCTTCTTCTCCTCCTCCTCCTCCCCTTCTCCTTCTCCTTCTCCCCTTCCTCCTCCTCCCCTTCCCCCTCTTCTTTCTTCCTCCTCCTCCTCCTCCTCCTCCTCCTCCTCCTCCTCCTCCTCCTCCTCTTCTTCTTCTCCTCTCCCTCCCCCTTCCCCCTCCTCCTCCTCCTTCTCCTCCTCCTCCTCCTTCTCCTCCTCCTCCTCCTTCTCCTCCTCCCCCCCTCCCCCTCCCCCCCTCCTCCCCCTCCAATTCTCTTCCTCCTCCTCCTCCCCTCCCCCCTCCTCCCCCCTCCCCCCCTCCTCCCCCTCCACTTCTCTTCCTCCTTCTCCCCCTCCCCCCTCCCCCCCTCCCCCTCCACTTCTCTTCCTCCTTCTCCTCTTCCTCCTTCTCCTCCTCCTCCCCTTCTCCTTCTCCTCCCATTCCTCCTCCTCCCCTTCCCCCTCTTCTTCTCCTCTCCCTCCCCCTTCCCCCTCCTCCTCCCCCCTCTCCCCTTCTTCTCTTCCCCCCCCCTCCTCCTCCTCCTTCTTCTTCTTCATTATATGGGAGGGAAACTGAAATGTAAAGGCCGGGAGGCTAAAACATTTGAACAATGGTTGCAGGATTTGGGTTTTGCAAGTGTAGAGAAAAGAAGGACTTTGGGGGATGGGAACAACACCATAGCAGTATTCCAGTATTTGAGGGGCTGCCGCAAAGAAAAAAGGGTCAGTTTGTTTTCCAAAGCACCATAAGGTGGGAGTAGAAATAATGGGTGGAAACTAATCAAGGAAGGAAGCAACCTGGCAGCAAGGAGAAATTGCCTAACAGTGAGAACAATTAGTGGAACAACTTGCCTTCAGAAGTTGTGGGTGCTTCACCACTGGAGGTTTTTAAGAAGAGACTAGACTAGGGTCTCCTGCTTGAGCAGGGGGTTCGGCTAGAAGACCCACAATGTCCTTTCTAGTTCTATTCTGATTCAAATACGGACGTAGCTGCACATAGAAATACATACATTCTTAGGTGTCTATTTCTGTGGGCATGTGTGTGCATACATGTGTGATCTATTCAAGCCAAAAAGAGAATTTTATGATTGAATCAATATTTTTAACTTGAATTTTGCTAGTCTTCTGTACGCCAAATGAATCATAATGTTAGACGTTAAATAGAATTCTGATGTTCTCATGATAATATATGGGGTTGTTTTTTTGTTTTTTGTCTTGCTACTTTCACTTGTCCTGCACCCATTTTTTAAACAATAATGAACCTAAACCATTCATATGAATCTTACAGATAAAGAAGATGCAAAGAAGAGCACTCTGGACAACAGAGAATAAGAAGCAACATTAAAACGCAAAACAAATCAATCAAAATTTCTTTCACTTCCTCCAGAAAGTGTAAAAACTCTTCTCCTTCCTCAGCAGATGAGAAGCAAGGGAGAGAATAACAAGAACACACTTTTGAGCTGGAAAAAATAGATTATGTGCAACTCAAGGAAACATTACACGAGAAGTCAAGAGGGATAATATTCATGTTAAAAAAAAAAGTGGAAACAACTAGGAGTCAGTGGAAAAGAAAAGGTCCCTTGGATAGCCAAGATGGACAGGCATTAATTAAAGCCTTTGAGGAATAAAACAGCAGTTTGACTCAAAGAACCTCCAAGTAACTTCCATATCTGGTGAGAGACAAGAACTCACACAGGAGAGAAACCATATGAGCGTCCTGATTGTGGGAAATGTTTCAGTCAGAATTCCTACCTGGTACTCATATGGGAGAGAAACCATATGAGTGCCAAGATTGTGGAAAAGGTTTCAGCTGCAATTCCTCCTTGGTGGAACATGAGAGAACTCAGACTGGAGAAAAAACGTATCAGTGTCCGGATTGTGGGGAAAGTTTCAATCAGAATTCCAATCTTGTGAAACACCAGACGACACATAGGGCAGAGAAACTGTATGAGTGTTCAGATTGTGGGAAAGGTTTTAGTTGCCAATCTGAACTGGCGAAGCACCAGAGGACTCACACAGGAGAAAAACTGTATGAGTGTCCGGATTGTGGGAAATGTTTCCCTCGGAATTCCAAGCTGGTAAGACACCAGAGAACTCACACAGGAGAGAAACCATATGAGTGTCTACATTGTGGGAAAAGTTTCAATCAGAATTCCAACCTGGTGATACATGAAAGAACTCACACAGGGGAAAAACCATTCAAGTGTCTGGATTGTGGGAAAAGTTTCAGTCAGAATTCCTACCTGGTGAGACACCAGAGGATACACACAGGAGAAAACCCATATGAATGTCCTGATTGTGGGAAAAGTTTCATTCGAAAATCCAACCTGGTTAAACATCAGAGGACTCACACAGGAGAGAAACCATATAAGTGTCCAGATTGTGGGAAAAGTTTCCGTCAGAGTTACTACCTAGTGATACACCAGAGGACTCACACAGGAGAGAAACCATATGAGTGCCCAGAGTGTGGAAAAGGTTTCACTTGCTATTCCTACCTGGTGGAACATCAGAGGACTCACACAGGAGAGAAGCCATATGAGTGCCCAGATTGTGGGAAAGGTTTCTATCGAAAATGTCACCTAGTGAAACATCAGTCAACTCATATAGAAGAGAAACCATATAAATGTCGTGATTGTGGGGAATGTTTCAGTCAGAATTCCTACCTGGTGATACACCAGAGGATTCACATGGAAGAGAAACCATATAAGTGTGTAGATTGTGGGGAAAATTTTAGATGGAATTCTGATCTGGTGATACACCAGAGGATTCACACGGAAGAGAAAACATGTAAGTGTGTAGATTGTGGGAAAAATTTCAGATGGAATTCTCAGCTGGTGATACACCAGAGGACTCACACAGGAGAGAAGCCGTATGAGTGTCCGGATTGTGGGAAGGATTTCAGTAGTAGGTCTAGCCTTATAAATCATGTAAGGTTACACACAGGAGAGAAACCATTCAAATGCCCAGATTGTGGAAAATGTTTCACATATTATTCTGCCTGTTTCACACACAAGAAATTACACAGGCAAAACGTGATGTGTGTAGAGGAATGTTGAATTTCATTTCTCTTCTCTAATTGGAAGCCCATCTGAGAAACTGACCATTTAATTGCTTGACATACTCTTTTTAGTCAAACGTGTTTTAGTATCAAACATGAGGGAGAAGATCTGAGCTTCCTTTCTCTGACCCAGTGTGGTCGCTCCCTTCCACAGAGTCAAGGGGAACTGCTGTGCTGGGACAGTGAAAGCGAGCTTGCATCTGTATTAAGTGTGTTTGCCGCCTTGAGCTATTTCTTCACATAAATATATTATTTGTTAAGAAAATGTATATGCCAACCCGACTCATCGTGGGTTGCTTGCAGTAGTAAAGCCTTCATACAGAAACTGATAAATCGCATATGTTGCAAAATGGCAACGTTCAAAGCCTCCACCTTTGCCCTCAAATACAGGGCAACTCTAGCAGGGTTGATGGCATTTGGATGGTCATGGAATCCCAAAATGGTGATTCTTGCGTTTGTTCAAATTAGAAATTAACCAGGCCACCTGGCCCTATTATGGCCCTCCTTGTGCCATTCTTGTTCAAAAGAGGTCATCTTTCTCCTTGCAAAGAGCTAAATTGGAGACGTTAACCACAGGATTAGATCTTCCTTGCTTTACCGAAGACTAGGAGGATAATGCCCTGCCATACTTCAGTGGGAAGAGTGTCTCTTAGGGCAGGGTCTGCAGCGGAAAAGGCTCACTTCCTAGCTCCTATCAGATGGCAATAGTTAAGGGAAGGGGCTAGATGCATGCCCACCCTATCTGACCTGGTAGAACAGATAGATGCAGAAATAATGAAGTGGAACATTAATGACAGGTGCCCTGTTGGCTCAGTGGTCAGAATGCAGTATTGCTGGCTGACTCTGCCCACAGCCTGGAATTTGATCCTGAGGGAGCTCGAACATAACTCAGCCTTCCATCCTTCTCAAATCGGTAAAATGAGAACCCAGATTGTTGGGGAGAATATGCTGACACTGTACGCCGAGAGTGCTATAAAGCACAGTGGGGTGGGGTATTAATTCCAAGTGCAATTGCTATAATAAAAAAATAGCTTTAAATGTGATGACCAGCATCTTCAATTGCACCTGTAAAGAAACAAAGCCTGCAGCATCTCGCACCACAAAGACGTGATATGGGCAACCTAGAGGCCCTCATTACTTTGTGCATTGGGGCATTCTGGACCAGTTATAATTTCCGGGGGGTCCAGGGCAGTGACCCAAACTGGAGGTGACCAAGGCATGATTCAGCTCTGTGCAAGGCCTCCCTGGTCTAGGAAAGGACACAGTTGGCGCACCAGATAAATCTCTGCAAAGCCCCTCCCCCAACTATGATGTCAAGCAGGAGCCATGAGTCCAGGAGGATCCCCAAGGAGATCACATGACCCCAGGACACTGAAACTCACAAATATGAGTCAATTGCCATGCGTCATAATTTTGATCACGACGGGGGATGCTGCAATTGTGTGAAAAGTGGTCATATGTCACTTTTTTAGCACTGTTGTAACTTCAAATGGTCACTATATGAAATGTTATACGTCCAGTACATAATGGGGTATCAGGATGGATGGCCTCCCCTAGTGGTTTCATGTAGATCTTAGAAAGCAGCAGTGTGAGGTTTTTGTTCCAGGGCCTCCCGAATTGCGAGAGGCCCGACTCCACACCAAGTGGAACCAGTGTGGGAAAAAGAGCTTATTGTTTTCACAGAACTATGAGAAGACATGCTAGTCTGTGAAGCAAATCAATTGTATATATTTTAATCTCATGAGCCTAGCCTGAAGTTTGAGAATTGCATCTAGGAAGGTCTCTGCTACGCTGAAAACCGGTCCTAACCAGAATTTACTGATATGATAGCAACTTTAGAGAAAACCCCTAGGAACTAACTGCCATAAAAGGTAATTCGTAAATAAGGGCCAGGGGCCATATAATTAGGGGAATGGGAAAAGTAATTGGGGGTGGAGATAATACATTCACTTTAGAAGCTTTGGATAGGTTGTGACAGCATGATTACTACACCAATGAAGAGGAGGTGGGAGGTAAATTTGTACTGGCAATGGGGAATATAAAGAACAAATATTGCAGATTTGAGGTGTCTCCACTGTGTGCTTGCATGCACAAGCAGCACCCCCCTTCTAAAGGAGTACAAATAAATTACCATTGTTTTCTCTTGGAACTTTTCGCTTATGATTGTTTATTTCAAATAGACAGCGAGTCCTACACCAGGCTTGGAGACAGAAGTCTGCTCAGAAGGATATTGTAAGGTTCTCCTCTTAACCTCACATACTTCTCTGGGCTACACAGGAATTTTAAAAAGCCAAAGAAACTCCTGAGCTGAAGTTTTAGCAAGAAAACAAATTTTATTTCGATCAAAACAGAGTTGGGTGTCCTATTCCCTTTCGTGGCTGCTTAGAGGTATGAAGGCACACACACAAAAGATTTCTTCCACTCTTTATACCCTTTCAGAACAAAGAGACTCAAGTCCCCATACCAGGACTAAGGAAGCACAGAAAAACAAATTCCAAGGTCATGACTCCTACACATCAATCCAGGCTAGCTCACCTTCCCTCTCCTTATTTCCCGGACCACTGAATCTCACGTTGCTCCTTCCATGTAAGCAATCTCCTCTATATTTAGCATGAAACATTTGCTTTTATGTAAATAATTTCCCAATATAAGGCTCCTACAGAGCTGCTTGCACATGAACAAAATTATATATAAGATGATTACAAAATATCACTAGTAGTATCAATATAAAATGGTTACAAAATAACACTACTACTATCAACCTTAAGCATAGTAAAATCCTAAGCACAATAAAATCCCTTCAATATCATGGTCGATGATACAGTATTGAAAGCTGATGAGAGGTCCAGCAAGGACATAATGGTTGCACCCCGTCTATCCTGAGGCCTCCTAAAGTCCACGAGAGTTGCAACCAATGCCATTTTGGTGATGTGCCTCAGCCTGAACCCAGACCGAGAAGGGCCCAGGTGTCTTTCTCCTGCACAGCCCTTTCTACGGGTGGCAAAGTCAGAGCTGCAGGCCGAGGGCGAGTTGAAGTTCCAGGCTGCCAGCCTTTCATTCCCCTCTTCAGCTGCCCTTAGAAAAGGTCTTAATCTGAAGCAATGCCTTGAATTCCTCTGCCAGGAAAGCCTCTCATGATTTTCTTATGCACAACAAACTGATGTTCAAGGTATGAAGCTGGCCAGGATGTCCAAAAGGGGGAAATGATACTTCCAGCCCTCTCCTGAGCTTGGAAAAGAAATATCGGTAGTTCTCAGGTTGTGACAGAAATTCGAGCCCAAATTTCCTTTGCTTAGCCGGGATGGGGCACCAGTAGGAAATAGGGTGCTTCTTAGCTAAAGGTGGAAGTAAAGGAAAATAAAATCACAGACCAGACAAGGGGTCAAGCTTCAATTTTACAGCTTCGCTAAATTGCAGAGGCAAGTTTCAGGGAGTTATTCTGCACCCCCAACCCCCAAGATGAAAAACTGGCTGGAACAATCTTCAACAGCCCTCAAGGGAGGTGCACTTTCTCCTTGGCTGTTGTACATAATTCCCCCACCACCACCTTTAATTTAGTTGCAGGAAGAGGGACGATGACTGCCCTCTTGGGAGACCTGAAAGAAAAGGTTTAGGATAGATTGTCCTGGACAAAAGCTATCGATGTGCTCGGTGAGAGTCGAATACGACTTGATGGCCCCTAAAGAACCAGAGAATCCATGAAAATGCCTTGCAAACTCTTTAGGGAAGAGATAGGACGAGCGTGATGTCCTTATGTCGCTAGATGGCGCTCTACAGAGAAACAACACTCGTACCTGGAAAGCAGAGAATACAGTTCTGTACACAGCAGCCGCATCGCTAGTGCCAACGTCATACGGGAGGGAGAGAGGCTGAGCCGGAACAACTGGAAACGATAGAGGATTGGACTGCTAGAGAGGATTCTGGGGAAAGGGCAGAGGAACTTCCTCTTCCGGCTCACTTAATGGGAGGAGGATGGCGTCGGTGGATGCTCTTCCGCTGTCTCGAGGGTGGAAGCGGCCCCCGGGAGGTGAGTGGAGGGCAGGTCGAGGGGAAGCCGGGAGCAAGTCGGGCTGTTTCTTTTCCTCCGCGGTGTGGAAGCAGCGAAGGAACGAGGCTGAAAAGGGTCTGCTGCTGCAGCATATTCTTTCTCTCCCCAAATGTTCTTATCCTTACGCTGCATGATTTAAAACTGCTGCCTGTGATTTTCTGCTGGGAGATGGAAAAATTGGGACATTTAAAAAATCTTTATTTCATATTTTTTAACAGCCTGCCTCCCTCGGTCTTCATTCCTTGTGATATTATTGACGTGTTTTCCTGGCAAGTGAGGACTTTCGGGGGTAAAACGGGTGCTTTAAATCTCGCATAGGCTTTGGGCACCGTTTCAAAGTCCGAAATTCACATAGATTTTCCACATATATAAATTTATAGGTGTGTATTTATGTGTGCATGTATATGTATATGTATAGACCTAAGTATTTTCAGGTATTTTTGTAACAACTATTTGCAATGATAATAATTTACCCAAGCCAAGAAGAGAATTCCATGATTTGAAATATGAGTGGATAGCTGAACTTTGATTTTGCTGGTCTCCTTTGTGCCTGATGAATCATAATGAATCTTAGAGGTTAAATTAGCATTTTGATATATTTGCTTTTTCATAGTAATAGATGGATTTTTTTTTCTGTTTTCACAGGTTCAGCAGCAATTTTTTTAAACACTAATGAAACTAATCCATTAATATGAATCTTATAGTCAGAGAGGATGCCAAGAAGAGCACTCCGGACAACAGAGAATGAGGAGCTGTGTTAAAATGCAAAACAAACCATCAATCAGAATCTTTTCCATTTCCTCCAGAAAGTGTTAAAACTCTTCTCTTTCCTTAACAGATGGAGGGAGACAAAGGAGACAATAACAGCAGTTGTCAGGTAGAAAAAATAGATTATGTGGAACTCAAGAAAATATTGCATGAAAAAGTACAAAGGCATTAAAGCATTTGAGGAAGGAAAGCGTCTTGGATCAAAGCACCACCAGACAAGAGATCAGAAATATTTTTGGCCTCCATGAATTTCACAAATATCAGTGTTGGAAAAATCCCACTGACTGCCTATTTTGGGAAAAACACGGATTGCAGATCACATATGATTTTTGCATAAGTCCATCAACACCTTGAAAACCCATGCAAATGTTTGGACTGTGCCAAAAACTTTACTCAGAACAGCAGTCCCATTATTCATGGAAGGACTGATGCAGGAGGAGCAGCACTACCAGTGCTCCCAGGGTGGGAAAAGATTTAGCATGCATACCAATCTGGTGAGACACAAGAGGACTCACACTGGGGAGAAACTCTTTGAATGTCCTTTGTGTGGGAAAAGTTTTAGTCAGAATTGCAAGCTGGTGAGTCACCAGAGGACTCACACGGGAGAGAAACCATTTCAATGTCTGTACTGTGGGAAAAGTTTCAGTCATACTTCCAACCTGCTGAGACACAAGAGGACTCACATTAGGGAGAAACTCTTTGAGTGTCTGGATTGTGGGAAAAGTTTCAGTCAGAATTCCAGCCTGGTAAAGCACCAGAGGACTCACACAGGAGAGAAACCATATGAATGTCTGTATTGTGGGAAAAGTTTCAGTCATAATTGCAAGCTGGTGAGTCACCAGAGAACTCACACGGGAGAGAAACCATACGAGTGTCTGTACTGTGGGAAAAGTTTCAGTCATACTTCCAACCTGGTGATACACCAGAGGAGTCACACGGGAGAGAAACCGTATGAGTGTCTGTATTGTGGGAAAAGTTTCAGGCTTAATTCCAAGCTGATAATACACCAGAGAACTCACACAGGAGAGAAACCGTATGAGTGTCTGCATTGTGGAAAAAGATTCAGTCAGAATTCCAACCTGGTGATACACGAGAGAATTCACACAGGAGAAAAGCCATTCAAGTGTCTAGATTGTGGGAAAAGTTTCAGTCACAATTCCAACCTAGTTAAACATCAGAGGACTCACACAGGAGAGAAACCATATAAGTGTCCAGATTGTGAGAAAAGTTTCATTCGCATTTCCAACCTGGTTAGACATCAGAGGACTCATACAGGAGAGAAACCATATAAGTGTCCAGATTGTGGAAAAAGTTTCCGTGAGAGTTACTACCTGGTGAAACACCAGAGGATTCACAAGGGAGAGAAACCGTATGAGTGCCCAGAGTGTGGAAAAGGTTTCACTTGTTATTCCTACCTGTTTAGTCATCAGAGGACTCACACAGGGGAGAAACCATATGAGTGCCCAGATTGTGGAAAGGATTTCTCTTGGAAACGTGACATGGTGAAACATCAGTCTACTCACATAGAAGAGAAATCATTTAAATGTCCTGATTGTGGGAAATGTTTCAGTCAGAATTCCTACCTGGTGAAACACCAGAGGATTCACACGGAAGAGAAAACATATAAATGTGTAGATTGTGGGAAAAATTTCAGATGGAATTCTCAGCTGGTGATACACCAGAGGACTCACACAGGAGAGAAGCCGTATGAGTGTCCGGATTGTGGGAAAGATCTCAGTAGTAGGACCAGCCTTATAAATCATGTAAGGTTACACACAGGAGAGAAACCATTCAAATGCCCAGATTGTGGAAAATGTTTCACATATTATACTACCTTTTTCAGACACAAGAAATTACACAGGCAAAATTTGATGTGTGTAGAGGAATGTTGAATTTCATTTCTCTTCTCTAATTGGAAGCCCAGCTGAGAAACTAAACTTTTAATTTCTTGCCATATTCTTTTTAGTCAAACGTGTTTTAGTATCAAACATGAGGGAGAAGATCTGAGCTTCCTTTCTCTGGCCCAGTGTGGTCGCTCCCTTCCCAAGAGTCAAGGGGAACTGCTGTGCTGGGACAGTGAAAGCAAACTTGCATCTGTATTAAGTGTGTTTGCCGCCTTGAGCTATTTCTTCACATAAATATATTATTGGTTCAGAAAATGTATATGCCAACCCAACTCATGGTGAGTGGGTGGCTTGCAGTAATAAAACTTTAATACAGATAATGGCCTGCTATACTTCATGGGGAAGAGTGTCTCATAGGGCTGGATCTGCAGCGGAAAAGGCTCACTTCCTAGCTCCTATCAGGTGGCAATAGTTAAGGGAAGAGGCTAGGTGCATGCCCACCCTATCTGACCTGGTTGAACAGATAGATGCATAAATAATAATGTGCAACATTAATAACAGATGCTCTGTTGGCTCAGTGGTGAGAATGCATTATTGCTGGCTGACTCTGCCCACAGCCTGGAATTCGATCGTGAGGGAGCTTGAAGTTAACTCAGCCCTCCATCCTTCTGAGATTGGTAAAATAAGAACCCAGATTGTTGGGGAGAATATTCTGACACTAAGCCGAGGGTGCTATGAAGCACAGTGGGGTGGGGTATTAATGCCAAGAGCAATTGCTATAATAAAGAAATAGCTTTAAATGGGATGACCAGCATCTTCCATTGCACCGGTAAAGAAACAAAGCCTGCGGCAGCTCAAGCAACAAATATGTGATATGGGCAACCTAGAGGCCCTCATTAATTTGTGCATTGGGGCTTTCTGGACCAGTTAGACTTTCCAGGTGGTCAAGGGCAGTGATCCAACCTGGAGGTGACCAAGGCATGATTGAGGCCTGTGCAAGGCCTCCCTGGTCTAGGAAAGGACGCAGTTGGCGCACCAGATAAATCTCTGCAAATCCCCTCCCCCACCTATGATCTTCTCAAGCAGGAGCCATGAATCCAGGAGGATCTCCAAGGAGATCACATGACCCCAGGACACTGAAACTCACAAATATGAGTCAATTGCCAAGCGTCATAATTTTGATCATGTGACAAGTGGAATGCTGCAATGGTCGTAAGTGTGAAAAATGGTCATGTCACCTTTTTATAGCACTGTTGTAACTTCAGATGGTCGCTGAATGAAATGTTATAAGTCCAGGGCTACCTGTACATAATGGGGGTATCATAGGATGGATGGCCTCCCCTACTGGTTTCACGTAGATGTTAGAAAGCAGCAGTGTAAGGCTTTTCTCCCGGGACCTCCCAAATTGCCAGAGGCCCAACTTTAGAGAAAACCCCTAAGAACTAACAGCCATAAAAGGTAATTCATAAATAAGGGCCGGGGCGATAGAATAAGGGGAATGGGAGAAGTGAGGGGGGTTGGTGGAGGTAATATATTCATTTTAGAAACTTTGGATAGGTTGTGACAACATGATTACAGCATGCTTACTAAGCCAATGAAGAAGAGGTGGGAAGTAAATTTGTAAAGGCAATGAGGGAATATAAACAACAAATATTGAAGATTTGGGGTGTGTCCACTGTGTGCTTGGATGCACAAGCAGTGCCTCCCCCCTTGCAAAGGAGTGCAAATAAATTACCATTATTTTCCCTTGGAAATTTTGGCTTGTGATTATTTCAACTAGACAACGAATCCTATGCCAGCCATGGAGACAGAGACATATTTGGCACAAAACATTTGCTTTTATGTAAATAATTTCCCAATATAAGGCACCTACAAAGCTGCTTGAACATCAACAAAATTATATATAAAATGATTATAAAATATCACTACTAGTATCAATATAAAATGGTTACAAAATAACACCACTACTATCAAGCTTAAATATAGTAAAATCCTAAGCACAATAAAATCCCTTCAATATCATGGTTGATGATACAGTACTGAAACCAGATGAGAGGTCTAGAAGAGACAAAATGGTTGTACCCTGTCTATCCTGAGGCCTCCAAAAGTCCATGAGAGTTGCAACCAATGCCATTTTGGTGATGTGTCCCGGCCTGAACCCAGACCGAGAAGGGCACAAGTCTCTTTCTCCTGCACAGCCCTTTCTCTGGGTGGCAAAGTTAGAGCTGCAGGCAGAAAGCAAGTTGAGTTCCAGGCTGCCAACCTTTCATTGCCCTCTTCAGCTGCACTTAGAAAAGATCTTAATCTGCAGCAATGTCTTGAACTCCTCTGCCAGGAAAACCTGTCATGATTTTCTTATGCACAGCAAACTGCTGTTGAAGGTATGAAGCTGGCCAGGATGCCAACTGTCCAGAAGGGGGGAAATGATTCTTCCAGCCCTCTCCTGAGCTTGGAAAAGAAATATCGGTAGTTTTCAGGTTGTGACAGCAATTCAAGCCCAAATTTCCATTGCTTAGCAGGGATGGGGCACCAGTAGGAAATAGGGTGCTTGTTAGCTAAACATGGAAGTAAAAGAAAATAAAGACAAGGGGTCAAGCTTCAATTTTATAGCTTCGCTAAGTTGAAGAGGCAAGTTTCAGGGAGTTATCCTGCACCCCCAACCCCCAAGATGAAAAACTGGCTGGAACAATCTTCAACAGCCCTCAAGGGAGGTGCACTTTCTCCTTGGCTGTTGTATAAAATTCCGCCCCCCCACCCTTTGATTTAGTTGCAGGAAGAGGGACGATGACTGCCCTCTTGGGAGACCTGAAAGAAAAGGTTTAGGATAGATTGTCCTGGACAAAAGCTATCGATGTGCTCGGTGGGATTCGAACACGACTTGACGGCCCCTAAAGAACCAGGGAATCCATGAAAACGCCTTGCAAACGCTTTAGGGAAGAGATAGGACGAGTGTGATGTTCAACCTTATGTCGCTAGATGGCGATCTACAGAGAAACAACACTCGTACCTGGAAAGCAGAGAATACAGTTCTGTACACAGCAGCCGCATAGCTAGTCCCAACGTCATACGGGAGGGAGAGAGGCTGAGCCGGAACAAATGGAAGCGATAGAGGATTAAACAGGATTCTGGGGAAAGGGCAGAGGAATTTCCTCTCCCGACTCACTTATGGGAGGACGATGGCGTCGGTGGATGCTCTTCCGCTGTTTCGAGGGTCGAAGCGGCTCCTGGCAGGTGAGTGGAGGGTAGATCGGAGGAGAAGCCGGGAGTAAGTCGGACTGTTTCTTTTCCTCCGCGGCGTGGAAGCAGCGAAGGGAGGAGGCTAAAACGTGTCGGCTGCTGCTGCAAATTCTTTCTCCAAATGTTATTACTCTGGTATTGCACGGTTTAAACTGCTTCCTGCTGGGAGATTTGGGAGATTTGAAGAAATCTTTATACGTTGTTCATATTTTTTAACCACCCATCTCCCTCAGCCTTCGCGTAACACGATTCGTTGTGATTTTATTGACAAGTTGTTTTCCTGGCAAGTGAGGAGTTTCATGGGCAAAAGGGATGCTTTAAATCTGGCGTTTGATTTGGGCACCATTTCATTTCATCTGTTAGGATCCCCACCTTTCTAAACGTAGATGAAACAAATTGAGTGAATCCACTTCTGAAACCTTTTGAAGACTGAAATAAAGATCTACATCCATAAATTTATAGGTGTATCTATGTAAACCTAAGTATTTTCAGGTATTTTAATAACAATTTGCAATGATAATTGTGATTTACTCAAGCCAATGGGAATTTCATGATTTGAAATATGAGTGGATATTTGTACTTGGATTTTGCTAATCTTCTATGTGCCTAATGAATCATAATGAATGTTAGAAGTTAAACTAGCATTTTGATGTTTGGTTTTTCATAGTAATACATGGATGGGTTTTTTTTGGTGTTTTCACAGGTTCTGCAGCAATTTTTTAAATGATAATGAAACTAACCCATTAATGTGAATCTTATAGACAAAGAGGATGCCAAGAAGTGCACTCTGGACAACAGACAATGAGAAGCAGCATTAAAATGCAAAACAAACAATCAATCAAAATCTTTTCCATTGCCTCCAGAAAGTGTTAAAACTCTTCTCTTTCCTCAGCTAACAGAGATAAGGGAGAGAATAACAGGAACAGAGTTTTCAGGTAGAAAAAATAGATTATGTGGAACTCAAGGACATATTGCATAAAAAGGTAAAATGATATAATTACCAAATTCAGAAAAAGGGGGAAATAGCTGGACATCAGTGGGAAGGAAAAAGTCCCTTGGATAGCTAAAGGCATTAATGAAAGACTTCGAGGAAGGAAAGAGTGTCTTGAAATCAAAGCACCACCAGATAAGGGATCAGAAATATTTTTGACCTCCTCATCAGAATATCAATGTTCGGCAAAAAAAAAAAAAAAAAAAGCCACAGATTGCCTATTTTGGCAAAAACAGAGATTGCAGATCTCATCTGATTTATGCATAAATCAATCCACCTCATGAAAAGCCACACAAATGCTTGCAGTGCAGCAAAAGCTTTACCCAGAACAGCAGTCCCATGATTCATATAATGACCAATGCAGGAGGAACCGCTCTACCAGTGTTCCCAATGTGGTAAAAGATTTAGCATACAAACCAATCTGGTGAGACACAAGAGTACTCGCACTGGGGAGAAACTCTTTAAATGACCGGTTTGTAGGAAAATTTTCACTTGGAATTCTGGCCTGGTGATACACCAGAGGTTTCACACTGGAGAAAAAACATATGAGTGTATTGTGTGAAAGGTTTCAGTCAGAATTCCAAGCTGGTGATACACCAGAGGGCTCAAACAGGAATAAAACCATATGAGTGTCCGGATTGTGAGAAAACATTCAGTCACAAATCCCACCTGGTGAAACATCAGACAACGCTCATGGAAGAGAAACCATATGAGTTTTCAGATTGTCAGAATTCCAAACTGGTGAGACAAGAGAGGGCTCACATGGGAGAGAACCCATATGAGTGTCTGGATTGTGGGAAAAGTTTCAGTCAGAATTCCAAGCTGGTGAGACACCAGAGGACTCACACGGGAGAGAAACCATATGAGTGTCAAGATTGTGTGAAAAGTTTCAATTGGAATTGGGATCTTGTGGTACACCAGAGGATTCACACAGGAGAGAAACCATATAAGTGTTCTGATTGTGGGAAAAGTTTCAGTCACAATTCCACCCTGGTGATACATAAGAGGACTCACACGGGAGAAAAGCCATATGAATGTCCGGATTGTGGGAAAAGTTTCAGTCAGAATTACAACCTGGTGATACACCAGAGGAATCACACGGGAGAGAAACCATATAAGTGTTCTGATTGCGGGAAAGGTTTCCATCGGAATCCTGACTTGGTGATACACAAGAGGAGACACACAGGAGAAAAACCATATGAGTGTCCGGATTGTGGGAAAAGTTTCAGTCACAATTCCACCCTGGTGATACACAAGAAGACTCACACGGGAGAAAAACCATATGAATGTCCAGATTGTGGGAAAAGTTTCAGTCACAATTCCAACCTCGTGATACACCAGAGGAATCACACGGGAGAGAAACTGCATGAGTGTCCAGATTGTGGGAAAAGTTTCAATTGGAATTCTGAACTTGTGGTACACCAGAGGATTCACACAGGAGAGAAGCCATATAAGTGTCCTGATTGTGGGAAAGACTTCCATCGAAATTCTGACTTGGTGATACACAAGAGGACACACACAGGTGAAAAACCATATGAGTGTCCAGATTGTGGAAAAAGTTTCAGTCACAATTCCAATCTGGTGATACATGTGAGAACTCACACAGGGGAAAAACCGTATGAGTGTCCGGATTGTGGAAAAAGTTTCAGTCACAATTCCAGCCTGGTGAAACACATGAGAACTCACACAGGGGAAAAACCGTATGAGTGTCCAGATTGTGGGAAAGATTTCAGTACTAGATCTAGCCTTACAAAACATGTAAGGTTACACATAGGGGAGTAACCATTCAAATACCCAGATTGCGGACAGTTTTTGACACAAAATTCCTCCCTTATCACAAGAAATTCCACATGAGAAATTAACACATGATCTGTGCAGAGGAATATTGAATTTCATTTCTTGTTTCTTATTGGAAGCTCAGCTGAGAAATAATTTAATTTCTTGCATGATTTTGTTTAGTCAAGCAAAACATGAGGGAGGAGATCTGGACCTCCTTTGGCCCAGTGTGGTCGTTCCCTTTCATGGTGTCGAGGGGAACCGCTGTGCTGGGCCAAAGAAAGCGAGCTTAGATCTGTATTATGTATGTTTGCCATCTTGAGTTATGTCTACATATAATAAATGGGGCGGTTGTACATTTAGTAAGAAAATGTATATGGCAACCCAACTCATGGTGACTCCACATGATTTACAGCAATAAAACCTTAATACAGAAACCAATAAACCCCATATATTGCAAGGCAAAATGCAAAGCCTCCTCATTTAACATGTACTTGGTCTGCAACTACAAGGCATTTCTAGCAAGGTTGATGGTATTTTGATGGTCTGGGAATTTCAAAAAGCTGATTCTTTCTTTTGTCCAAATTAACAGTTAACCAGGCTTCTGGCCTATTATGTTCATGCTCTGTGCTGTTCTTGCTTTAAATTGATAATCTTTCTCCTTTCTCCAAGGAGACAATGACAGATTAGATAGATAGATAGATAGATAGATAGATAGATAGATAGATAGATAGATAGATAGATAGATAGCATATAAATTTGATGAATGAATAGCTCTTCAGTGTCTTGAGCAACTTGCAGATGGGCAGCCTCAGTGGATTCATTCGTTCCTTTTTTCTCTGATTTATTTAAAATATTTATGTAGCCATCCGTGTTATGAAAAATTTTGGCCAGGTCCCAATCTAATTTACTTAAAAACCACCTAGAGTTATTTCTACATATAATAAGCGTGAGGTATTTATCTTTATTGGTTAAGAATATGTATGTCGCACCCCAACTCATAGTGATTCCACACGATTTACAGCAATAAAACCTGAATACAGAAGCCAATAGACCCCATACATGGCAAAACGCAGAGCCCCCATGGTTAACATTTACTTGCCCTATAAATACAGGGCACTTCAACCAAGATTGATGGTCTGTGAGTCCCAAAAAGGTGATTCTTGCTTTTGTTCAATTTAGAACAAAAGGCTTCCTTACTATCCAACCATTGGGAACCCCATATTAATACAACATATCTTATGTGTGGGCAGAATTTGAAAACAACGTTTAATATGGCAGAGTACTTGAGTAAAACTTATCAATGTATCAAATTGTTGTATTTTACTCCCAATTTCATTTTAATTTGTTTTTAGAGGGGTTTTTTTATTAATAATTGATGTTTGGAATGCTGTATTCTGATATGGCCTATGGGCTAATCAATAAAGTATTAAAACCAAATGCATAGAAACAAAAACCTGGTTTCAATTCAAGCTTCTGATGTGCAGGCTCCTCTTCTTATCCCAGTGCTTAGAGGGAAAGCTAGTTCTTTGTTTATGGAAGACCAGGAGCATAAAGGCTCCTGCCTTCTAGCAAGATTTAGACTCGCCAATAATGCAGTCAGGAAGATCATATCTACCTCCTGTCTTAGATGTGTTTCAGCGGCAATGCCAGTGGGCGCTTCTGAATTGTTCCCTGTTTCATTGTTCTATTAATAGGATGGAGCTGGCAACCATTTAGAGTCTCCCCTCCACACAAGCAAGAACTTCACGAACTTTTAGGGCTCAGCACTTGGCTAATCTTTTGAAGCTAAGGTAGGGTCAACCTTCAGTCCTTTGCAGAGGCGGATTTCGAGGAGTTATCTTGCAGCGCGCCAGACGAAAAACTGGCTGGAACAATCTGCACCAGCCCCCAAGCGAAGTCCACTTTCTGATTTGCTGTCGTACGTCATTTTCCCCCCTAAGACACTTTCCTTTGACTTAGATGCAGCAAGAAGGACGATGACGTCCCTCTTGAGAGACCTGAAAGAAGGGGATTAGGATAGATCAAGAGTAGGCAAACTGGGCTCTTTTATGACGCTAGGACTGCAACTCCCAGAATTCCTGAGTCAGTATGGCTCGGCTTGGAAATTTCTCCCTATCCCCTCAGCATGGATGGCTCAGGAATTCTGGGAGTTGAAGTCCACGAGTCAAAAGAGCCCAGGTTGCCTACCCCTGGGATAGAGATCGTCAGGGAAGAAAGCGATCGACGAACTCGTCGGGAGCCGAATACGACTGGATGGCAGATAAGGAAGTATGAAAGCAGTGAAAACAAAGGCTTTAGGGTAGGACGAGCGTGATTTTCACCCTCACGTCACTAGATGGCGCTCTACAAAGAAGCTTCAGTCGTGCCTAGAAAGCAGTGAACAGTGGTAGAGCAGCCGCATCGCTAGTATCGACATCGTACGGGGGGCAGCGAGGCCGAGCTGGAACGAATCGAAACGATAGCGTATTGGATTGCTAGAGAGGATGCGGAGGGGGAGCAGGCGGAGGACAGAGAAACTCCCAATTCCGGCTCGCCCACGGGAGGAGGAGGAGGAGGAGGAGTGGCGTCGGTGAGTGGAGGGCAGGTCGGAGGAGAAGCCGGGAGTAAGTCGGGCTCTTTGGTTTCCTCCACGGCGTGGAAGCAGAGCAAGCAACGAGGCTGAAAGATGTCGGCTGCTGCTGCCTATTCTTTCTCTCCCCAAATGTTATTACCCTTCTGCCCATCACTTCAAACTGCTGCCTGCCATTTTCTGCTGGGAGATTTGGGACATTGGAAACCTCTTTGTTTTTCATATTTTTAACCGCCCGTCTCCCTTGATTCCTTGTGATTTTATTGACAGGTTGTTTTCTTGGCAAGCGAGGAGTTTCACGGGCAAAACGGATGGTTTCAATCTCTCGTAGGATTTGGGCACCCTTTCATCTGTTAGCGTCCCCCGCTTTCAAAATTAGGTCAAAATAATTGAGTGGCTGCACTTTTTTGCAGATTGGAATACAGACAATTCTTTACCTAAACAAATTCTTAGGAGTGTATTTCTGTGTCAATAAGCACCCATATACAGTGCATTCAGAAAGTACTCCGCCCTCCTTCACTTCTGTCAGTTTTGTTATGCTGCAGCCTGATTTGACAGTTGTTGAAATTCCTTTTTTTCCTCATTAATCTATGTACATTCATGATGACAAAGGGAAAACAGAATTTTAGAAGTGTCTGTAAATTTATTAAAAACAAAAACACTGAAATCACATTGGCGTAATTATTCAGACTCTTCACTAAGTACTTCGTTGAAGCACCTTTGGCAGCAATTAGAGTCTCCCATTTTGGGGGGTTATGACCTGAAAAGCTTTGCCAAGACAACACAGGAGTGGCTTAGGGACAACTTTGTGAATCTCCCAGAGTGGCCCAGCCAGAGGCCTGACTTGAACCCTACTGAACATCTCTGGAGGGATCTGGCAGTGTCTGTCCACCAATGATCACCATCCAATCTGACTGAGCCTGAGAAGATTTGCAAGGAAGAATGGCAGAAAATCCCCCAATCCAGATGTACAAAGCTCACGTAACCAAAAAAAGTCAAGGCTGCCAAAGGTGCTTCCACAAAGTACTGAGTGAAGAGTCTGAATACTTACATCGATGTGATATTTCAATTTTTTCTTTTTATTAAATTTAGAAACATTTTTAAAATTCTGTTTTCACTCTATCATTAAGAGTGTAGATTAATGAGCAAAAAGGAATTTCAACAACTGTAGAATCAGGCTGCAGTGTAACAAAATTGATAGAAGTGAAGAGGGTCTGAATACTTTGGATATTTTCTGAATGCACTATGTGTGATTTACTGAAGCCAAACAGAATTTTCTGATTGAGTTGATATTTGGATCTGTTAGTCTTCTGCATATCAAATGAATCATAATGTTGCAGGTTAAACTAGAATTTTGATGTTTGTTTTTTCATAGTAACATATGAGATATTTTTGCACCTTTCATATGTACTGAAGCCATTTTTTAAACAATAATTAAACTAACCCATTAATATGGGTCTTACAGACAAGGAGGATGCCAAGAAGAGCGCTCTGGACAACAGAGAATGAGAAGCAGCATTAAAATGTAAAACAAAGCATCAATCAAAATCTGTTCCACTTCTCCCAGAAAGTGTAGAAGCTCTTCTCCTTCCTTAGCTGATGAGAGACAAGGGAGAGAACAACAAGAACAAAGTTTTCAGCTGGAAAAAAATAGAGTATATGCAACTCAAGAAAGCATTACATGAGAAGTCAAGGAGGATAATTTCCAAATAAAGAAAAAGTGGAAATAACTGGAAGTTAGTGGAAGGAAAAGGTCCCTTGGATAGCCAAAATGGGCAGTTATTAATTAAAGCCTTTGAGGAAGGAATGAGTGGCTTGAATCAATGCAGCCCCACATAAGAATAGAATAGAATAGAATAGAATAAGGAATAGAATTGAGTAGAGTAGAATAGAATAGGAACTTGGAGGTCTTCTAGCCCCCTGCTCAAGCAGGAGAACCTATACCATTTCAGACAAGTGACTGTCTAGATCAGAAATATTTTTAGCCTCCTGAAGAATCCAAGAATATCACTGTTGGGAAAACCCCACAGACTGCCTATTGTCAGAAAAACACAGATTGCAGACCATTGATGAGATGATCTACCCAGAGAAAAGCTATACAAATGTTTGAAGAGCAGCCAAAATTTTACTCAGAACAGCTCCCTCATGACTCATGGAAGGATCCATGCTGGAGATTAGTTCTACCATTGCTCCAATCTGGCAAAAGATTTAGCATGCAAAGCACTCTAGTGAGACACAAGAGAACTGACATTGGGGAGAAACCATATGAGTGTCTGTATTGTGGGAAACATTTTCTGCATAATTCCAAGCTGGTAATACACCAGAGGACTCATACAGGAGAGAAACCATACGAGTGTCCGGATTGTGCGATAAGGTTCAGTCAGAATTCCAACCTGAAGAAGGACTCACACTGGAGAAAAACCATATGAGTGTCCGGATTGTGGGAAAAGTTTCCAACAAAATTCTAAGCTGATGATACACCAGAGGAGTCACACAGGAGACAAACCATATAAATGTCCAGATTGTGGGAAAGGTTTTAACTGGAATTCTGAGTTGGAAGTACACCAGAGGACTCACACAGGAGAAAAACCATATGAGTGCCCGGATTGTGGGAAAGACTTCCATAGAAATTCTGACTAAGTGATACACCAGAGAACTCACACAGGAGAGAAACCGTATGAGTGTCTGCATTGTGGAAAAAGATTCAGTGAGAATTCTAGCCTGGTGGTACATGAGAGAACTCACACAGGAATAAAACCATTCAAGTGTCTGGATTGTTGGAAAAGTTTCAATCATAATTCCTGCCTGGTGAGTCACCAGAGGACTCACACGGGAGAGAAACCATATGAATGTCTGGATTGTGGGAAAAGTTTCAGGCTTAATTCCAAGCTGGTAATACACCAGAGAACTCACAGAGGAGAGAGACTTTATGAATGTCTGCATTGTGGAAAAAGATTCAGTAAGAATTTCAGACTGGTGGTACACAACAGAATTCACACAGGAGAAAAACCATTCAAGTGTTTGGATTGTGGGAAAAGTTTCACTTGTTATTCCTACCTGTTTAGACATCAGAGATGTCATGCAGGAGACAAACCATATGAGTGCCCAGATTGTGGAAAGGATTATTTTTGGAAAAGTGACATGTTGAAACATCAGTCTACTCACATAGAAGAGAAATCATATAAATGTCATGTTTGTGGGAAGTGTTTCGGTCAGAATTCCTACCTGGTGACACACCAGAGGATTCACATGGAAGGGAAAACATATAAGTGTGCAGATTGTGGGGGACATTTCAGAAAGAATTCACAGCTGGTGATACACCAGAGGACTCACACAGGAGAGAAGCCATATGAGTGTCCGGATTGTGGGAAAGATCTCAGTAGTAGGACAAGCCTTATGAATCATGTAAGGTTACACACAGGAGAGAAACCATTCAAGTGTCTGGATTGTGGAAAATGTTTCAGTCATAATTCCTACCTGATGAAACACCAGAGAACTCACACAGGAGAGAAACCATATGAATGTCCGGATTGTGGAAAAGGTTTCAGTCAGAATTCCCACCTGTCTAGTCACCAGAGGACTCACACGGGAGAAAAACCATTCAAGTGTCTGGATTGTGGGAAAAGATTCAGACAGACTTCTACTCTGGTGGTACACCAGAGAACTCACACAGGAGAGAAACTGTATGAGTGTCTGCATTGTGGAAAAAGATTCAATGAGAATTCTAGCCTGGTGGCACATGAGAGAACTTGCACAGGAATAAAACCATTCAAGTGTCTGGACTGTGGGAAAAGTTTCAATTACAATTCCCAGCTGGTGAATCACCAGAGGATTCACACGGGAGAGAAACCATATGAATGTCTGGATTGTGGGAAAAGTTTCAGGCTTAATTCCAAGCTGGTGATACACCAGAGAACTCACACAGGAGAGAGACCGTATGAGTGTCTGCATTGTGGAAAAAGATTCAGTCAGAATTTCAGTCTGGTGATACACAACAGAATTCACACAGGAGAAAAACCATTCAAGTGTCTGGATTGTGGGAAAAGTTTCCGTGAGAATTCCTCCCTGGTGGGTCACCAGAGAACTCACACAGGAGAGAGACCTTATGAGTGTCTGCATTGTGGAAAAAGATTCAGTCAGAATTTCAGTCTGGTGATACACAACAGAATTCACACAGGAGAAAAACCATTCAAGGGTCTGGATTGTGGGAAAAGTTTCCGTGAGAATTCCTCCCTGGTGGGTCACCAGAGAACTCACACAAGAGAGAGAAAGTATGAGTGCCCACAGTGTGGAAAGGATTTCTCTTGGAGAAGTGACATGGTGAAACATCAGTCTACTCACATAGAAGAAAAATCATATAAATGTCCTGATTGTGGGAAATGTTTCAGCCAGAATTCCTACCTGGTAAAACACCAGAGGACTCACATAGGAGAGAAGCCGTATGAGTGTCCGGATTGTGGGAAAGTTCTCAGTAGTAGGTCTAGCCTTATAAATCATGTAAGGTTACACACAGGAGAGAAACCATTCAAATGCCCAGATTGTGGAAAATGTTTCACAAATTATTCTACCCTTTTCACACACAAGAAATCACACAGGGAAAATTTGATGTATGTAGAGGAATGTTGAATTTCATTTCTCTAATTGGAAGCCCAGCTGAGAAACTAAACTTTTAATTTCTTGCCATATTCATTTTAGTCAAATGTGTTTTAGTATCAAACATGAGGGAGAAGATCTGAGCTTCCTTTCTCTGGCCCAGTGTGGTCCTTCCCTTCCACACAGTCAAGGGGAACTGCTGTGCTGGGACAGTGAAAGCCAGCTTGCATCTGTATTAAGTGTGTTTGCCGCCTTGAGCTATTTCTACACATAAATATATTATTTGTTTAGAAAATGTATATGCCAACCCAGCTCCTGGTGAGTGGGTGGCTTGCAGTAATAAAACCGTAATACAGAAACTGATAAGTTGCATATGTTGCAAAATGGCAACGTTCAAAGCCTCCACCTTTGCCCTCAAATACAGCGCACCTCTAGCAAGCTTGATGGCATTTGGATGGTCATGGAATCCCAAAACGGTAATTCTTGCTTTTGTTGAAATTAAAAATTAACCAGGCCACCTGGCTCTATTATGGCCCTCCTTATGCCATTCTTGTTCAAAAGTGGTCATCTTTCTCCTTGCAAAGAGTTAAATTGGAGAGGTTAACCACAGGATTAGATCTTCCTTGCTTTACTGAAGACTAGGAGATAATGACAGGTGCCCTGTTTGCTCAGTGGTCAGAATGCAGTATTGCTGGCTGACTCTGCCCACAGCCTGGAATTCGATCCTGAGGGGGCCTGTGGAAGTTAACTCAGCCCTCCATCTTTCTGGGATCGGTAAAATGAGAACCCAGATTTTTGGGAGAATATGCTGACACTGTAAGCTGAGAGTGCTATAAAGCACAGTGGGGTGATGTATTAATTCCAAGTGCAATTGCTACAATTAAAAAAAAAAGCTTTAAATGTGATGACCAGCATCTTCAGTTGCACCTGTAAAGAAAGAAACTTGCAGCAACTCGCACCACAATAATATGATATGGGCAACCTAGAGGCCCTCATTACTTTGTGCGTTGGGACATTCTGGACCAGTTAGAATTTCCGGGTGGTCCAGGGCAGTGATCCAAACTGGAGGTGACCAAGGCATGATTGAGCCCTGTGCAAGGCCTCCCTGGTCTAGGAAAGGACACAGTTGGAGCACCAGATAAATCTCTGCAAAGCCCCTCCCCCACCTGTGATCTTCTCAAGCAGGAGCCATGAGACCCCAAGTTGTGCACCAGCTCAGTTGACAAAGGAGATCACATGACCCCAGGACACTGAAACTCACAAATATGAGTCAATTGCCAAGCGTCATAATTTGGTCACGTGACAAGGGGGATGCTGCAATGGTTGTAAGTGTGAAAAATGATCATATGTCACTTTTTTAGCACTGTTCTAATTTCAAATTTTCACTATATGAAATGTTATAAATCCAGGGCTACCTGTACATAATGGGGTATCATAGGATGGATGTCCTCCCCTAGTGGTTTCATGTAGATCAGTGGTTCTCAACCTTTTTAATGCCGCGACCCCCAACCGGTCGTAAGTCGAGGACTACTCAACCGGTCATAAGTCGAGGACTACTCAACTGGTGCAGCACCGTTTGCAGAATGGGACTTTTGGCGGGCTCAGCAGGGCAGAGACAGCCTGGACAATTCCTATTGGCTTTTGAAAGCCAATAGGATTAGACTCTATTCAAGAGAGTCTAATTCTATTGGCTTTCAAAAGCCAATAGAATAAAAGGGAGTAGCACAGCTAAAGAAAAGGGGGGGAAAATGGCAGACTGTGTTGTTTGGCGACCCCCGTGAAATGGTCGTTCGACCCCAAATGGGGTCCCGACCCACAGGTTGAGAACCACTGGCTTAGAGGGATGAAGGCACAGAAAAGATTTCTTCCACTCTTTATACCCTTTCAGAACAAAGAGACTCAAGTCCCCAGCAATCTCCTCCATATTTAGCACAAAACATTTGCTTTTATGTAAATAATTTCCCAATATAAGGCTCCTACAGAGCTGCTTGCACATGAACAAAATTATATATAAAATGATTACCAAATATCACTACTAGTATCAATATAAAATGGTTACAAAATAACACTACTACTATCAGCCTTAAGCATAGTAAAATCATAAGCACAATAAAATCCCTTCAATATCATGGTCGATGATACAGTATTGAAAGCTGATGAGAGGTCTAGCAGAGACATAATGGTTGCACCCCGTCTATCCTGAGGCCTCCTAAAGTCCATGAGAGTTGCAACCAATGCTGTTTTGATGATGTGTCCCAGCCTGAACCCAGACTGAGAAGGGCCCAGGTGTCTTTCTCCTGCACAGCCGTTTCTGCGGGTGGCAAAGTCAGAGCTGCAGGCAGAGGGTGAGTTGAAGTTCCAGGCTGCCAGCCTTTCATTCCCTTCTTCAGCTGCACTTAGAAAAGGTCTTAATCTGCAGCAATGCCTTGAAATCCTCTGCCAGGACAACCTGTCATGATTTTCTTATGCACAGCAAATGCCATCGTACGTTCAAATGGTCACTAAATGAAGTGTTGTAAACCGAGGATTACCTGCACGTCATAGGATACCGTAGGAGGGATGGCCTCCCCTAGCAGTTTCATATAGATGTTAAACCGCGTTGCTTAGTGAGAGCAATCCTGGCAGTTCCGGTTGCTATTACAACTCCAGGTCCCCATGGGTCATTAAGTGAGGACCTCATGTGATTGTGATTTGGGAAGCCTCAGGCCAGCAGGTCAGCAAGTGAGAGTCATGGGCAAGTGGGTGGTCTCCAGGCCTGCTGCTTTCTGGGGCTGGGAGAGGAATTAAGAGCCAACTACTGAAGCTCCGGATCAGCTTTCTAAAAGCCACTGTAGCTCCCTCCAAATGTTTTGCCCAAACTGCCTGGGAATATTCAATGCCGGAATCAAAACTCCTCTGGAAATTGGGAAGGCTGCTCGGAGGAATTCCGCCCTCTAGTGAGATTTAGGCCCTGCAAGAATGCAGATGGAAAAATAGTATCTCTTCCCTAGATGTGTTTGGGTGGGTGCTTCAAGGTTTTGTCCCGTATTTCATTTTTCTGTTAATGGGATGAAGCTGGCAAGTGTTTAAGGCTGCACGTACAAACAAGACCTTTATCAACCTTTATGATGCAGCACCTGGTTAATCTTGTGAAGCTGAAGTAGGGTCAAGCTTCACTCTTCAAACTGCCTTCAGTTGCAAAGGTAGTTTTGGAGAGTTATCTTGCACCCCCAAGACAAAGAACTGGCTGGAAGAATCTCACACTGATCCCCAAGGGAAGTGCTCTTCCTGGTTGCCTGATGGCCCATTGTGTTCCCCCCCGCCATGGATGCTTTTCCTCGGTTTAGTTTCTGCAAAAGGAGCTCCTGGCTCAGTTGTAATGATGATGAGGGCGTCCCTGCGAGACCTCAAAGGACAGACTAGGGCTAGATCGTCCTGGAGAAAAGTGATGGACATGGTGGCTAAGAATGGAAAACGGCTCTTAATTTTAAAAAATCCTAGAAACATCAGATAGAGACAGAATTATCGTATTTTCAGCCCTGTGTCACCAGATGGAGCCCTAAAAGAACACCAGGGCCTCAAAATCCATCAGTCTGATGGCAGCATTGCAATTTCCAATTGAATCAATCAGAATAGAGCTGGAAGGGACCTTGGAGGTCTTCTAGTCCAGCCTCCTGCTCAAGCAAGAGATCCTATACCATTTCAGACAAGTGGCTGTCCGGTTTCTTCCTAAAAACCTCCATGGATGGAGCACCGACTTCTGAAGGCAAAACTGTTCCATGGGTTGATTGTCCTCACTGTTAGGAAGTTTCTCCTTAATTCCAGGTTGCTTCTCTCCTTGATTGGTTTCCATCCATTGTTTCTCGTCTTGCCCTCAGGTGCTTTGGAAAACAAATTGACCCCCCTCGTCTCTGTGGCAGCCCCTCAAGGACTGGAATACTGTTGTCATGTTCCCCCCCCCCCCCAGTCCTTATCTTCTAGACTGGCCAAACCCAAATCCTGCAACTGTTCTTCATATGTTTCTGAAGCTGAATAAAGCATCACTCTTTTTAAGCTTCCCTCAGTTGCAAAGGTAGTTTGGCGAATTAGCATCAGGTGGATGATGAGTTTAGGATAGGTCAGAGGAGAAGCTGGGAGCAAGTCAGGCTATTTGCTTCCCTCCACGGTGTAAAAGCAGAGAATCGACTAGGCTGAAAGTTGTCAGCTATTTATCTTTCCCCATATTTTATTGCACTGGTGCTGCAGTCCTTAAAACTGATGCCCACCATTCTCTGCTGGTTGGAAGATTTAAAAAGTTTCCTTCAGGTGAAGATTGATTCCTTGGGATTTTATGGCCATGTTGTTTTCTTTGCAACAATATGCGACTGGTCTCTTTTGGGACTTTACTTTCTTTTATTTCCATGTTTAATCTAACCAGCACGGTATTTGCTATTGAAACCCCATCAGTATATTAACCAGGTTCAACTGTGGTTAACCCAGTAATTTATATATAAAAAAATAACTATTGAGGATGTTAGAAATTCTGTTTTATTACATTGAAATGGTAGCAGAGGATTATCATACAGCCATACAGATTGGTAGCAGAGGATCCTTGGTGAGGTTCAGTTGTATATAGGCAGTCCTCGCTTACCATTTGTTCCCTGAGCCTTCAGTACTGTAAAAGAACACATAAACCTGTTCCACATATTTGTGGCCATCGTGGTACTTATTCAGTGACGGCGCTTCCTTTGGTGCAGGAAAAGGAGTTGCACCAATTTGGGTGCTGTCAACTGGTGCACATTTATGATCTCATTTTTGTGACCTTCCCAGCCAGCTTCTCACAAGGGGATGGTGGCAAGAAGTTGCCAGTCACAGTCATCTGAAAGTGCCTTTAACAACCCACAGTGATGAGCTTAACCATGGCAGAGGAGCAGATGTAAATTAGCACTGTCATGTTACATGATACTTAATGATCGGGTTTCTTAGTGACACCGATGCCACTCCCAAATGTGGTCAGTACTTTAATGGGGATGTCATCAGAGAAGCTGTGGACATTACTTTCTGCCTTTATTTGCAGCTGAGGAGGTCCATGGGCAAAACTGTTGGTTCAAATCCTGCAGAGGCTTTAGGCATCATTTCTGTTAGCCCCCACATCTCCAAGATTAGTGCAGAGAGTTGGACTGTAACAATTTTGGGACATTATTCAGGCTAAAGTACACATGGGTTCTCTCTCTATATATATACATTTGTAGGTGTGTGCATTTGTTGTTCTCTAATCTAGATGCATATATCTGCATCTGCATAATCTTATCCCCAACACTTCCAGGTATACAGAGGCTATAGAACATCTACACGCCCCTTGTAAAATGCCAGGAAAAATAAAGTGAAACCAAGACAAATCACTTAGGAATTTTTTCCACCTTTCATATAACGTATGAGCTGTACAACTCAACTGAAATTCAAACTGAAAACTTTATGGGAAAGAAATGACTATAAAAATCTTCCAATTACATGGTTTTCGTAAAGATGTGCACCCTTAAACTGATACTTTCTTGAGGTACTTTTTGATTTTATCACAGCATGCAGGGCAGGACTCTTTAGACCAGCTTTTGCAAACTGGTTTCCTCCAAGTATTTTGCTCAAGCTGCTTGGGAATAATGAGGCTGAAAGGTAACAAAGCTGGGAATTGGGAAGGCTGCTCTGAGCAATTCTGCCACTTAGCAAGATTTAGACTCCCCGATAATACAGACATAATACAGGTCATATCTGCCTCCTGTGTTGGATGTGGTTCAGAGGCAATGCCAATGGACGCTTCTGGGTTGCTCCCATGTTTCATTATTCTATTCTAATAGGACAGTGGTTCTCAACCATTTCACGGGGGTCGCCAAACAACGCAGTCCGCCATTTTTTTCCCTTTTCCTTAGCTGTGCTACTCCCTTTTATTTTATTGGCTTTTGAAAGCCAATAGAATAGACTCTCTTGAATAGAGTCAAATTCAATTGGCTTTCAAAAGCCAATAGGAATTGTCCAGGCTGTCTCTGCCCTGCTGAGCCCGCCAAAAGTCCCATTCTGCAAATGGTGCTGCACCAGTTGAGTAGTCCTCGACTTACGACCGGTTGAGTAGTCCTCGACTTACGACCAGTTGGGGGTCGCGGCATTAAGAAGGTTGAGAACCACTGTAATAGGATGAAGCCTTAGTAAGACCACACCTAGAGTACTACACCCAGTTTTGGTCACCACACTATAAAAAAGATGTTGAGACTTTAGAAAAAGTCCAAAGAAGAGCAACAAAAGTGATTAGGGGACTGGAGGCCAAAACATATGAAGAGCAGTTACAGGAACTGGGCATGTCTAGTCTAGTAAAGAATGGATCAAGGGAGACATGATAGCAGTGTTCCAATAATTGAGGAGCTGTCCCAGAAAAGCTCCTGAAGGCCAGACAAGGAATAACAGATGGGAATGATCAAGAAGAGATTCAACCTGGAAATAAGGAGAAACTTTCTGACAGTGAGAACAATCAAACAATGGAACTATGGGGATTGTACAACTATGGGGATTG